CCTTTTAAAATTTTCCATGTTTTATAGTTCATTATTGTTAAATCTGAACCCGAATCGAGTTGAAATTTGATATTCTTTTAAATATTTCAGTCGTCACATATATCCTCAAATCTCTATCTGATTTGATATTTGAATTTGTTTGACTAATTCGGCTATTGACTTTTTTTTTCGTTTTACAACGCGACCCTTTGTGACCATTCTTGTGGCACACGAAACATTTTTTATTTCTATATGGGCAATTTACCTCCCAATGTCTTTCGTTGCACCGTCTACAATTAAATGGTGGAACCATTTTTTTTTCCTTCCTCATTCTTTTCATTTAATTTTTTTTTCTATTTTTAAAATACGAATTTTTAATCCAATTTTTTTTCTGATGGGTAATTTGACTGTTTCTTCACTTTTTTTAATATAAGCAATACCAGCTTCTTCAATTTTTTGAGACTCTTTCTTTAAACTTACGGCCCGCTGACACTCCTCTGCTAACTTTTTTGCAGGGTAAGGTTTTGTTCAGATTCGAGTTTAGACAAAACTCTACGTCTTATTTCGGCACTTTTACTGGATACCAGACCTTGAGCAAAAAAACAACACTTGAATTCTTCAACCGTAATCTCTGCCAATCTGAAATTGTCACAATGTCTATTCACTATAGATGCATAAGTTAAGTAATCCTGATCGTCGGATTTAGCGACATTCATGCATAACCATCGCTTATGCCAAAGCGACATATTTGCTCCAAACAACTCCTTTAACAATTTCACTGTTTCCGAGAATTCCAATTCATTTGTTCTTCTCGGTAGAATAAAATCTACAAATTTGCTATGTTCTGCTGTACCTAGCTTTCTTAGTAATAGACTGACTTTTCTTGAATTCGACCAATTTTCACAGTCTGTGTGGAAAATATCTTTATATCGTTTAAAGTACGCTTCAAACGTTTTTCCTTCGTCTGGCACATAGTTGAAAGTTTCCAACGAATTAAATATGATGTTATTAGAATATGAAGAGTTACTTTCATTTGCCTGATTGTTGTTTAATTTCTCCAATGTTAACTTTTGAATTTCCAAAACCTTGACATACATTTCTTCCTGTTCCCTTTGACGTTGCTGACTCAACTCCTCTTGCTATTCTTGATAATTCTGCTGTGCTAATTGTTGTTCTCTTAATAAGGCAACCTGGTCACTTTGTTGTTGCAGACTCAACTGCTGGGATTTGAATAATTCAGCTTGACTCAACTGCTGGGCTTTAAACAATTCAGCTATGACTTTGGATAATTCCTCCATTTTAGCTGATAGTGTTCATGCAACAAAGAATATACTTTTTAAATTGTTTATCCATGAATATACTATAAGCAGACAAAAAAAAATTGAAACAACTTACGCCTTTTTTAATTTTATGTCTTGCTTTATAAAATATTGTTGAGCAACCAAACAAAAAAAAATAAACAAATTTTTTTTTTTTACAAGTTCGCTTACCTTTCAAAATCGACACGTTGTATTTGTGCTCCTTTTAATTCCATGCATGTTTTTTTTTAGTCGGCCAGCTTTTTTTTTTTTTTTCGGCCAGCATTTTTTTTTTTCCGTTATTTGTTTTACGCACCTTCCAGATTTTTTTCTGAGTGAACGTTCCTTTAAGCTTAGTCGTCCTTTAACTAGTTTTAACTGTCCAAACTTCAGAATACTTTTCCGTTCCATTAGATGTTCGACTTTTAATTAATGATTTTTTTTTTTTTTCAGTTCTTCCACTTGTCCCAATTATTGAAGGCTATCAATTATTAATTCTTTTTTTTTCCGTAACGTAAAGTTCTTTATACCTCGTCGCCATTGTTGAAACTTGAATAAGCATGGAATAATAATAATACAACACAAAATGTACGTAAAAAAAATGTATTGAAACAATGAAAAAGGTACACAATATTTACAGGTAGTTTTGGTATATTCTTGGGAAGACTGTTCCTGCAGAATGGGTTGACTAAATCGCAGTCGGGCAGAGTCTCTGGATTCGATCTCTTAATCTTCCTTTTCCCCATTCTTTCCGGTACCAACCCATATTTATATGGTCGGTACTCCACTTATGTAAATTAGGTGTATCATACACAACAGTTATTTAATGCCAACAAGATTTTTATTGCTGGTAATATTATTTTTCCAAAAATATATTGCTGGTATTAAAACCTATTTTTACACTTTCACAGTGTTTTGACCCCAGTTTGGTGGGGGGGGGTTAACTACTTGCCCATAACTGGGACCCTAACAGGCACTACCACCCAGGGTCAATGTGGACCTGGGAACACCAGCAATTAAGAGGTGGTTCCACAAACCTCCTAATCAGAGACCTTGCTGCTGGATGTAGTTTATTATCATACCCAGGATGCCCTTTTTTTTTCTGGATAAGTTAACAACGGTTTCTACATTTTCCCATTTTTACAAATTTACACAAAACCTTCAGTGGTGCTGCACACATAACTCCACTTATTGTATGAGATTTTTCCCCACGCGTCATTCAATTGTTCCACTCTTCTCTCACATTATCTTTAAATGCTTTGTTTATTGTGACGTCTAGTGGCTGCTTTATAGAGGTCAAACCATTTGGGATAACAATATCAGTATTCGTTCATGATAAGCGGGTTTTAGTTTTGTCTGTTACGTGACTCCAAGACATAGCCCAGATCAATATACTCCGTTCCTTTCATATACCCTACCTGACCATCTGCTAAATATTACTCACCTTCATCATCCATATATCCTTTTTTGTGAAAATGGGCAAATACACCTGAAGGGAAATTAATTTTAGGTTTTTGTGCATAAAAATCACCATTCATCTCAGTTTCATACCATCAGCCATGCATGATAGAAACACCATTCACCTTTCATGTCCTGTACCTTTAATCAGCACCGTTTTTACTCCTTTAACATTGACCATTTTGTTAGCCAACATGTCAAAGTCTAATGGGGTTTCATCCATATTTCCAGTACATGATAATGCAAAAAGATGCCATTGTCTCAGCCGAATAATTAACTGACGAAAATTTTATGTTCAAGATCTCTTGGGAGATTTAGAGTAATTTCCATCTTTTGTCATATTAAAAGATTTTTTTCTATTCACAAAACAACTGTACCAGTTGACAGTTGCTTTAAAATCTTTACTTTGTTCTTGGTTTGCCTTTCCTCATTTTAGCGCATATGCTCTGATTTTATTACTTGTTACTATGTAGCCACGATTCTTCCTCTGTTTCAATACCCATTTTGCAACATGATTTCATAATTCCAGGCAACAAGTCATTCCTTTTCTCATGGCACATTTCCATATTGGCATTTCACTTAAAATATCTTCCACTAGACTCTTACCACCTTCACCATCACATCAAATCTTCCTGCAGCAGTGCAACTCTTTGATTCCTTGGCAGCTTCAATAACTCTCAATTTGAAACTTTCTTCATTTCTATATATGATATAATTTAGGTAACAGTAAAGTCATTTCAGGCATATAATCACCTTTTTGTTTTTGCATGGATGAACACAACTTTTGTTTTTATTCATACAAATCATAAAAAATGTAATCATTATTGTTATTTTCATAAAGATTCATGTTAATAATTTCTATTCTTTTATTATTTTTGATTTGATAAGAAATGTAAGTAAAACAACATTTGTAATAAGATCAACTTTATTTTATACACATAGGAATCATGATGCTAGGCCCAACTGCTACTGGCAGCATAGTTGACCCTATATTTTCAGTCATCTTATACTGATAAGAGGCACATTGGTGTAATGGATAGCATCTCAGATTAAGGAACTGGAGAGCCAAGTTCGAATTCCAGCCAAATCCATTACATTCATTTACATGCTAATACCCTTGGGAAAGGTATGAATCCTCTTCATCTCCCCTCAGCTATGGGTAAATAGCAGGACGAACCGGGTTCTATACTGGTCTACTGCAGAAATGGCAACCTACTGCAGTAAAAAATCTGCCTTGTCAGTCATGTATCAAAAGATACATGATCGCCTAAGTGTCTATCACATATGGCACAAAACTGACTGACTATACTAGAGATATCAGATAAAAATCATAAAAATTTACTTAGATTTTGGCTTTCGTCTTATCTATAGGTTGCCTTATATGTGGAAATATATGGTATTTATTTTCTAATTTACATAAATCATAAATATATACAGTATGAGACAAAAATATGGACGCACCCATATAAAGTCAATTTTTGTATTTTTACCAAGGCAAGTGAGTAACAGAATTCGTTTATTAATACAGGTATACATATGTACATTATACAAGTCAAAAAAGGATTTAGTAACAATAATGATCCTAAGCACACTGCCTTAAAGAATGAATGTTATCCAGAGAGGAAATGTGACAAGGGTAAATTGCAACTCTTCCTGACTTTAACCCAATTGAAAACTTTTGGGGAATAATGGACAAGCATGCCCATAATAGGAAAGTTAACACAAATGAGCTTTTTCATGAATTAAAGGAATGCTGGAGAAATCTGGCAAAGGACGTTGACTTACTAAAGAATTCTATAAAGTCTATAGCATACCACAAAGAATTAAGGCCGTTATTAAAGCAAAATGTTACCCAACAAAATACTAAATCATTTTTTGACTTGTATAATGTACATATGTACACCTGTATTAATACCCTGTATTAATAAATGAATTCTGTTACTCACATGTCTTGGTAAAAACACAAATCTACTTTCTATGGGTGCATCCATTTTTTTGCATTGTACTAATATATATATATATATATATATATATATATATAGTGTGTATGTGTGTGTGTGTGTGAAATATAGAATAATATATTACATAAATCATAAAAATAAAGCATAAAAATAGATAAATCATCATAACCATAACACTTTTATTTCTTTTATTTAGAGTTAAATTTTATTTGTATACTTACTAGTTTTCTAGAAATTACTTCAAAATATCTAGATACTACAACTAGATGACTTTAAAGTTGTTCACATCAAACTTTATTTGAGGTTAGACAGATAGTTGGAAACAGACAGAAAGAGAGAGGGTGATAAACAGACAGAGAAAGAGAGGGTGATAAACAGACAGAGAAAGAGAGGGTGATAAACAAACAGAGAGAGAGATAAGGTGATAAACAGACAGAGAGAGAGATAAGGTGATAAACAGACTGGGATAAATAGAGATAGATGAATAGATAAAGAATAGATTTTGATAGATTGAATGGAATGGAATGAATAAATAATAAAGAATGTCACTTATTATCCTGGTGCTTTTCAAGTGTAATGAAGCATTCATAATATCAAAGGAACGCTTACAATTGTAAGCATAACTGATATGTCATTCCAGCAACAATCAGAAGCAAACAAGTTGAATACTAACCTGTAATTTCTTGCTATATGTTAAGCTAGTGAAAATTTATCTATGTTAAAACAAATTTAACCTGACACTTCCTGCTCTTATCTATATGGAAAAAAAATAAATAAAAGAAAGGCTTTCTAAAAAAAAAAAAAAAAAAAAAAAAAATATCCGATTTAAAAATTATTTTTTTTATTTTATTTTTTTAATAATCTCAGCCCAAGCAAGGCGATAATGTCACAGAGATGCAGGGAGGTACAGGGAGTGAAAGAGAATGGGAAGAATTTAATGAGGAGAAATAAAGAAAGGACAAGAAAACAGAAGATGCCAATTAATGTTGAATTTAAATTTTTGAAGATTGTAGGCAACAGGAAATCAAGAAATTGGAAGAGAGTTCCACAGTGAGAAGTATAAGAAAAAAAAAACTTTTTGAATAGAAGTGGAAGTTGCATTGAGCTAGTTCAACAGTAAAATGGAGAGACCCAGTTGTCAATCTAGTAGCATACTTAAATTCATGTAGTCAAGAAAGCAGGGGAAAAAAGCTTGACAGAATAGTTGCCATGAAAATATTTGTAGAAAAGACAGAGGGAAGCCACATCACTTCTGTGAGAAAGTGATTGAAATCAAGATACCTTGTCAGGATTGATTAAGTAATAAAAAATAATAATTGGAATATTAACAGGAAACATTATCAGTCAGTTTTTTTTTTTATCTTTAAAGAATAAATTCTTTCTAAGAAAAAAGTGCTTCGCTATTGGAACTGTTACGTTTTGCATATCTCTAGTAGTCATAGTACAGTTCTCCATGTCCTGAATAGCAACCGGGTTTGCTAGACATAGCCACCCCATGTTTTCCAGTTGTTCTCTATTTATACTTGTCTATCTAATTTGCATATGATACTACAGCAACATTTGGACAGTCTTTAGACACTATGTTTAAAAAAGAAAACACTTATAAAAACACAAGAAAAATTTAATAAAAAACTTAATCAAAGTAAATTGTCAGTCATTTTTTATTGAATCTTGTGTACAGAGTGTATCAAAAATAATTTTCCCGACACCAAAACAAGGTAAAATGCCCATATAAACATATATCCAAAAGGTCATCGTTGTACCTCAACACAGCAACTCATAACAAATGTTCAAAACATCCTTTGCTTGCTTCTACACACACATGCACCTGTCAGGTCATTGACAGGTGAACCCTTTCAAATACTCCCACACAGTGTCAAATGTTTTCATAGGTCCACATGACATGTTAATGAAGCACCTCTGCATTAGTAATGTCTACTGGATAAACCAATTGTTTTAGGTGGCTCCAGAGATAAAAATCGAAAGGATTGAGGTCGAGGGAACATGCAGGCCATGGCACTGGTCCTCCCCTACCAATCCATCTTAGCCCCATCATGCATGAACATGGTACACCCTCGAGCAGCTCTGGAAGTGAGTTTGAAATAAATCCCTGCAGACAGATCCTGTAAGACATGTTGAGAGAACATATGGACCTACCAGACAGTCACCTACAATTCCAGCCCACACATTATTCGTAAACTGATGCTGGTGTCTAGCCTGTAATGTAACATGGGGATTCCAGTCTGCCCACAAATGTTGGTTGTATAAATTTGATAATCCATCTCTTCCAAATATTGCCTAATCTGAAAACAAGACTGAAGAGACAAGCTACAGTTCAGGAGTTTGCGCAATATCAGCAAAAGTCCTCCCGTGGTGAGTGATCAGAGGGCAAAAGACCCTGCACATGTTGCAAATGATATGGATACAGGAGTTGCTCTTGAAGTACCCTTCATGTGATACTATGCGATATACATGTTAGGGCTACTTGACATGAGCTGATACCTGGATCGTCTCCAACAGTCTGTAGAATGTGTTCTTCATGGTCATGCATACGAGCAGATTTCAATCTTCCTCAATCCATAGTTTGTGGTGCCACATATCCAGTCTCAGCAATGCAACAATAAACATTAGCAAAGGTTAGATGACTTGGCTGCCTTTGGTCTAGAAACCCAATCTGATACAGCCATGCAGCCTTGTATCCATTACTATTCACATGGCCATATGTAAAAATCATATCTGCTAACTCACAATATGAATATACTGTCATTGTTAAAATGAGACAATTCATAGTTAACTCACTACTACAAAGGTTAAACATTGAAGACAGGCAAGCCACAAATGTGCATGAATGACAAGTGTAACCTACACTCCATGGTAACACAGCACCATCTACAATAAACTTTCTTTAAACTTAATAACTCCCAAACAAAGGATTTGCAGACATATGTTTTGATGGCCTTGTTTTTGTGTGAGGAGCCCACCCTCAAAGTTTGTAAAAATATTTCTGATAGACCTTGTGTGTGTGTGTGTGTGTGTGTGTGCATGTGTGTATATATATATATATATATATATATATATATATATATATATATAAAATATATATGATAAAAAAAGAATATAAACAACTTATTAACACTTCCACTTCAAAATTTCTCATATTATGCACAAGAAAATATGGTACACACATATATATATATATATATATATATATATATATATATATCCCAGTACAATGAGAACAAATAGAGTACACTTCCAACATTCATAACATAGTTGAGCAATATTATTTATTTTAAGATATTACAACAAAAACATGTAAGTATCGCTACACAATTGCAGTCAAGTTTCAACATATAACGATGCGTCTCCTCAGGCGATTGGAAATTACTGGCGAGTGAACAATTAATTTGGTTTCAAAAGCAAAATACATTCTCATTTTTTTTTTTAAAAAAATTCCACTAAAATTAAGGTTGGTAAATTAAAGATGATTCATAGAGAATTAAAAAAATTAAATCTTAAGATTAAGATAATTACTAATGTTAAATGAGTAGATTTTCTTGATGTTACGCTAGATCTTGATAATGATGTATTCCAATCTTATATGAAAAATAATGCCAACCCAATTTATATTCACCTCCATCTGTAATCATACACTTTCATCTATAGAACATAGGATTAGTAACCACTCCTCTGACAAAGATGTGTTTGATAAATATAGTGGTGTTTATAATACTGTTTTAAAGAACAGTGGTTACAAGTAGGCTGAAATCAAGTATAGAAAATATGATAGTGATTTAAAGAAAAGAAATAGAAAGATCATTTGATACACACCCCCATTTAACCAATTAGTCAGTACTAAATTGGGCCAGAAGTTCCTTCATTTAATTGAAAACATTTCCTTAAAAGTAACCCTCTTAGTAAAATATTTAACAGAAACACATTAAAACTAAGTTATAGCTGCACCAATAATCTTGAGATTATAAAGTTACACAATAAAAATTTTAAACCAATTTAATAATCTGGATTATAATGCATGTTCTAAGATAAACATTGTTAATGATACTAGTCAATGTAATTGTAGGAATTCAGACCAATGCCCATTGCAACACATGTTTAACTAAATCTCTTTTTATGTTAGTACTATTGCTACAATAGAGAATCCAACAGTTGAAAAATTCTATATTGGTAGTACTAAGAATTCCTTCAAAACTAGCTGGTATCAACATATCTTGTCCTTCACCAATAATACTTACAGAAATAATACATCACTTTCTAAATATTTTTGGAGTTTAAAAGATGATAATAAAACTCCTAAGGTGACATGGAAAATTTTTAAAATGGCAAGGATATGTAGATCCATGTTTTCTGTGTTTACATGAAAAATTAGAAATTATCAAGTTCTTTGATAAAAATTCTGAATTAACAATAAATTGTAAACACAGTCTATCTTTTACCTTACAATTCAGTTAAACTTTGGAATCTGACAATGTTTTTCTTTAGATTCTAGTTGAACTGTGTTGCACCATACATGGCTTATCTTTCTATTTGTATGATTACTTTGCATTTAATTTAGTTCAGTATTGATCACCTAGTAGTATCATTAACATCTTATATGGATGTATTGGTATTTAGTATTTTTGACATTTTATAGACTGATTGATATTATATGATCTTATATGGATGATATTTAATTAACAGTTGCATATTATTTACCAAATAATTCTATATATTTAGATTATTTACTAGTTTCTTAAAGAGGCCTCTTATTTAGCAATTACAAAAAAAATTTTATGTAGAGAATCCACAAAGCTTCTAACTAGTTGGGCATTCAGTTAAATTACCTCTCTACACCCACCCCCTGCTTTTATTTCTTATGAAAGTTGATTGTCTGACATGTATACATTTATTGTAACCATTTGTATCAGTATTTAAGTTAATGTCTGGCTGCTGTTAGATGCCAAATCTTGGCCATGACACATTTCTAAGATAATAATTTCTAATTTTTTCCTTTTTCACTTAGTTTGAATTTAATGTAGGCCACATTTGATTGGTTATTTTTTGTTTTCTTTTCAAACAATGAAGATGTATTTTGCTTTTGAAACCAAATTAATCATTCACTCACCAGTAAGTTACAAATGACTGAGGAGATACATTATTATGTTTTGAAACACAACTGCAATTGTGTAGCGATTCTTACACGTTTTTGTTGTAAAATCCTAAAATATATATATATATATATATATATATATATATATATATATATATATATAAAAATACATACAGACAACATATTTTCTTTGCATATAATATACAAAATTTTGAAGGGGAAGTGTTAATAAGTTGTTTATATTCTTTTTTTCTTTTTTTGAACTACTGTTCTCAATTTGGTCCATATAGACATTATTAGAAACACAACATTTCATATAAATACACTCTGGCCATCATCAGGTGACCATATTTTTGATTGATATAGGATATCTGTTGATTACTGGGTTACATTTCTAAAATGTGAAATATTGTAAAAAGACCCACACAAAGGTAGATAACTTGTATTTTTTATATTTAGTAAATACATAATATCATCTCAACAGAGTATTTTAACCACAATTTAAATATTTCCAAATGATAAGAAACTTGAAAGTTATAGAATTGTACAATTTTTCTCTAGTTATTACAATGACTGTAAGTGAACAATTAAAACATTTAAGAAATTAAAATAAAAACTGGAATTTCTTATTCAAAAGTCATTAAGTAAAATATTTTTTTCAATTCTGCAAGTTTTTAAGTTAACACTAAAAATAAGACATGTTACCTAATTTAACAACCACATTTAACAGATAGCCTTACCAAGTCCCTTAGATATTTTAATAAAATGAAACATGTTTGATAGTCTATGTCTTACAGATTTTTGTCTTCAAATCCTTGACCCACTTATTAAAATGAAAATCTTAAAAAAAAACATTCAATTTCATAATATCAAATTAAAAATTATTAATTTACAAGTCACAAAAATCATAATAGCTATGGGTTATCATTGCTACAAACATTATAACTGTTACGTTGATCAGAGAAGAAAGCTAGTATAGAATAACCTTTCCTTAAGGCTCTACTGAACTTAATTCACAGCAGTCAGTAATCAACAAAGGAAGAAGAACGCAGCTTTTAAAGAGGAATGGGGACGTGTGAAAAGTCACGTGGACAGTAAAGCTAGTTTCCTCTTTTTTTTTTTTTTCTTTACGAAAATATAACATTCTCCCCCACTTGCAAAAGAGATTGTAATTGAATAGGTTTTATAAATCCAGTCGTTGGATTGGTCTACGAATCCTGCTAGACCGGTGTAGAGGTAGTTCACCACTGGAAGAGCCAGACCTCTGAGAAGGCTAACTTTCAGGATTCTGGCTATTATTCACAGATTCATTTTCTGTAGAAGGTGAAGAAATATTAACGGGACCTGCATCAGGCAAAAGGGTTGAATCTGCATGGTCCACGTCGGGTTAAGTATTTTCAGGTCCATTTTGAGGTCCATCCGGGCGTGGAAAACGTGCCAACCGTCTCAGTGCCACCGAATCTTCCCAGCCATTATTGTGACATATTTTGGCATGCGTAGGATTGGCCTCAAGGAGTTCCACCACCTCAACGTTAGGGTCATATTTACTTCTGCCATCGAATTGTTTTAATAATACCTCCCCAGGCTCACAGAGCCAAACAGGCAATGCAGTACCGGTGGAGGACTGCCTTTCAAAATTGAACATTCGTTCGTGGGGGGTTGCATTCGTAGTGGTACATAGCAAGGAGCGGATAGCATTTAATGCATCATGTAGAACATCCTGCCAAGCACTAATTGGTAACTGTTTCGATTCCAGCGCCAGTAATATGGTATTCCAAATTATGCCGTTGTAACGTTCACATTGGCTATTTCCTCTAGGGTTATAAGCAGTAGTATTACTGAATCCAATTCCAAGTCATGTTAGAAATTGTTTAAATTCTCCTGACATAAACGAAGTTCCTCGATCGGAGTGAATGAACGAGGGAAGCCCAAAAATGGAGAAAATACTTGTCAGGCACTGAATAGCAGTTTGCGAAGAGCAATCGCGGCAAGGAAAGGCAAAGGCAAAGGGAAATCGACTATATTCATCAATGACAGTAAGTATATATCGGTAACCTGTCAGGGATACCGGGACAGGCCCTTTGTAGTCTATGGAGAGACGCTGAAATGGCGCAGTAGAACGGATCAGAACATTACTAGCAGAATCGAAGAATTGGGGTTTTATTTTGGCACAGGTCGTACATTCAGAAGTCACATGTCGGACTTCATCAAGCGAATACGGCATAATCTGAGACCTTACAAAATGCCAAAAGCGCTGTACCCCAGGATGTATTAAGGAATCGTGTATCGATTTAAGTTCCTTCAAGAAAGAAGCAGCAGCAGCACCACATACTCTGGATAAGGTATCCGCAACTGTGTTTTCATTTCCAGGACGGTGTTTTATGTCGTATGAAAAGGGAAGAAGTTCCATTTTCCACCTTATAATTTTATCGTTTTTAATTTTTCCGCGATTAGCAGGTTTAAACATAAATGATACGACTTGTTGATCAGTAATAATAGTAAAATGTTTCCCGGCAAGGAGGTCTCTCCATTTACTTAACACATTCGACTATAGCATATGCTTCTTTTTTCAACTATATGAAGTCGTATTTCAGAGGGGTTAGCGACCGAGAAAAGAATGCTACAGGTCGCTCAGCTTGTAAAAAGAGTGCCTCAATAGCCTTTTCTGAGGCATCGGTTTCAATAGTAAATGGCAATTCATCATCAATAACTTTTACAGATGACTCAGCAATGTCTTTCTTAAGTTTTTCGAAAGAATTTATAACTATAGGAGGCATAGGGAATTGTTTATTTTCGACCAGTGGACGAATTTTGTGTGAATATTTAGGTATCCATTTCGCATAGTAAGCAAACATACCAAGACACCTTTTTAACGAATTTGAGTCGGAAGGAGGAGGCATTTGTAAAAGTGGCTTCAAACACTCAGGATCAGGTTGGATAGTTCTGTTACAAATTTGATATCCAAGCACGTTAATAGAATGAAGTGAAAACTCTGATTTTTCCTGGTTTATTTCGAGGTTGTATGTCGAGGCAGCCTTTAAGAAACATTCCAAATTGACGTCGTGCTCCTCCTGGGTTTTACCGCAAACAGTTATATCATCTATATATGAAAAGGTTCCAGATAATTTGTTATCAGAAATGAAAGAATTCATAAATCGCTGAAAGGCAGAAACCCCGTTAGTAACACCCATGGGTATTCGTTTAAATTGGTACAGACGGTTTCCAGCTTGAATGGCCATATAGGGGCGATCTTCGGGGCAAATTTCAATCTGATAGTACGCTTTGGACAAGTCAATTATACTATAGATACGATACTGGGCTATTTGGTTTACGAGATCTTCAATTCGAGGCAAGGGGTAGGCATCAAGTAAGGTGAACGATTAATAGTCTGGGAGAAATCGACTACCAATCGTTTCTTTTTTATTAGGTGACGAAGTTACGACAATTTGAGCACGCCACGGAGAGTAACTTGTTTCAATTATATCATCCTCAAGCAGTTGTAGAATTTCTTTTCAATGAACCGACTATCCTCCATACGGTAATTTCGGGATTTAGTAGCAATAGGTTTGCAATCAGGGGTCAAGTTTTGAAACAACTTAACAGGAGCACAACTGATCTTGGTTAAAGCGCAGATTTTTAGAATATCCTGAGATCCACCAAAAGAAATAGTGATACTCTGGTGTAGTTTTAAGAAGGGCACTCCGAGTATAATATCCATACAGGAATCAGGAAGTACTGTAAAGTCAATTTGTTTATATTCGTAACCATTGAAGATAATGTCCTCAGTACAAAATTCAGATAATTTGAAGGAAATGGCAGATGAAGCCATGGAAATTACGAATTCCGTTTAGAAGTAGACAGTTTCATTGTTTTAACAATACGTTTTACTGATAAAGTTATCAGAACTACCGGTGTCTATGAGGGCAGTTAATCTCTTTCCTTTTAATTCTAAAGTTTTAGTAACTGGAGGAGACCTATCATCGTCTTTAGCACGGGCTACTATAATAGCTGAAGTAGAACGTGAAGGTGCCGGCATGGTAGAACGGCAAACTTTAGAAAAATGACCGAGTTTGCCACAGTTTCGACATATCTTATCACGGGCAGGACAATAGCGACGATTATCCTTAAAGTGAGGTTTTCCTCCACAGTTGTAGCACTTGCCACGAGCAAAGGCAGCAGACAATTGTACAGAGTCACACTCCGTATGAGAATCAGTTAAGTCTGAAAGCATATTTTTAGTAATAGTAGTGGAAGTGGCCTCCTCGGCAGAATCAGTAAACACATTTTTAGTCCTAGTGGTAGTAGCAGCAGTTGATCCAATCTGAGAAGTGTATGACTCAGCACGAAAGTGAGCCTGTTCTAAGGCTCTAGCACATTGAGTAGCCTCCTTGAGAGTTAGCGTATCATTTTCAAGCAATCTGGCACGTATTACAAGGGACCGGAGACCACGTATAAATGCATCACGGACAGATTCATCCCTGTAAGTAGTAGCAGTAACATCTTGGAAGCAACAATCAGCAGCAAGTCGATTCAAGGCCTGAAGATATTGGTCTACAGACTCATTTTCCTGCTGCAGACGCGTAGACAACAAATGTCTAGCGTGAATAACACGTGGAGACTTGTCATAAACACTTCTCAGCAATTCAACAGCATGTTCAAATCCAGAACAACCCTCGATAACATCAGCAACGGTAGTACCGATATTTAAATAAAGGACTTTGAGTTTGTCCGGGTTTAAAGAAGCAATAGTTGATAAGTAATAATTAAAATTACGGTACCATAGTCTCCAGAGCTTGCTAGCCTGAGGGTCTGCAGAAGATATATCAAACTTGTCCAGACGAATAATCTTGTCCATGAGGAATTAAGTTCAGTAAATTGTTACGTTGCTCAGAGAAGAAAGCTAGTATAGAATAACCTTTCCTTAAGGCTCTACTGAACTTAATTCACAGCAGTCAGTAATCAACAAAGGAAGAAGAACGCAGCTTTTAAAGAGGAATGGGGACGTGTGAAAAGTCACGTGGACAGTAAAGCTAGTTTCCTCTTTTTTTTTTTTTCTTTACGAAAATATAACAATAACCTTGGCAAAACAGACACCAATTACATCTTTACTGCCACTGCTAATAGTATCTCTATTAAGAATTGTATCATTTCATTAAATAAAATTGTTTTTCATTGGAATCATTCCTTATCTTCAGTCACAGACTTCTATTCCTGTCAATAGAATTATGAACTGGTTGTGAATATATTCCTAGATTTACCAGAATCATGCAATGAAAATGATTTCCTTCATTTTGTTTTGTCAAACATTGTTGCCAAGCTTTTCAGCAATACTTTTAAGAAACTAAAATATGCTAGTAAATTTCTAAATAGAATCAACTACATTACTTGTCATTCTATCTTGAAGACATTTGAAAGGGCTTGGTATGATTGTCTTCTTCACAAGTTGAAATGTTATGGCATTTCTGGACAAATTTTTGATTCAAAATCTTATGAATTCATGAAATGAACGTTATCTTGAATGGCCACTCTTCTAGTTCTTTTTGCATTAATGCAAGCATCCTCCAGAGCTCCATACAGGGACCCATATTGTTCCTAATTTTCATCAACAACTTTCTTGATGTCGTCAGTTCTCAACTCTGTACCTATGCTGATGACACAATTATTTACTCCTGTTTAAGTGCTAAGTTTGATCAGTTTAATCTACAATCTGTTGTTAACTGGGGCAAGAAATGGCTTGTTAATTTTAACACCTCCAAAACAAAACAGATCTCTTTTAATCATCTGAGGGAACCTTTTTTGCCTTCCATCAGCATGGCTGATGCTAACCTCCAGGAGAGTAACTCCTTGAGACGGAGAGTGGAAAAATTATATTGAATTAATTACTAGTCCTGCTGCTAGGAAAGTTAGCTCATTGTTGTGCTAGACAATTTTTCTCTCCAGAATCTATCTTACACATATATAAGTCTACTATTCACCCATACATTGAATATTGCTGCCACATCTGATCTGGTGCTTCTGCTATATATTTAGAGATTCTTGATAAAATACAAAGAAGAATCTGCAATGTTATTGGCCCTGACCTGGCACTTTGGCTTCCGTCATTTCTCCACTGCTATAACATTGTTTCCCTATCCCTTTTCTATAAATATTTGCATGATAATTGTTCTGATGAACTCTCCTCTATATCTAGACTTTATGAATTTAAGTGCAGTACTAGATTGGTAGCAAGGTCTCATAATCTCACAGTTGAAATGGCTACATGTAATTGTAAGTTCTATGCTAACATTTTCAATTCTCACACACTTCTCACTTGTGGAACTCTATTCCGACTTTTTGCTTTCCAGTCAACTTTGATCTTCAAAAATTTAAATGCAATGTCAATTGTTATATTCCATCTCCTTAATGTTTTTTTCTTTTTTTTTTTTCTCATATTCTCTCAAACTCAGTAATCCCTTGCATCTTAGTAGCTTTATTGCATTGGTTTGGGTGAATGATTTAAAAAAGGAAAAAGTTCAAGCCTTCCAAATTGGTGCATCCCAGAACTTTTTCATTAATGCTATATTCCTTCAGGACGCAGGTGATCCTGACTCTCCACAAAATCTTTTACTTTATTTTTTTTGACTTGCCAAGCAATCTTGAGAAAGAGTGGTTTTCCATTGCCTTCTGCATGAAATTCAGTTTTCCTGATCTTAAATTGGCTGCCACCCAAGACTAAACAGTCTAGTTTAACCTGATATTTAGCCCCTAGCTAGTGGAAGAGGAGACAGATTCATGCCTTTCCCAAGGGCATTAGTGCAACAGACTAGCCAAAAAACTGAACTTGGCTTGCCAATATCTGTTATTTTACCCAAATGTCCCTTCAATACTTTAGTTAATTACCTGTTATTTCTTAAGTACTAATTTCATTTGCCATCCAAATTTCTTTTTATATTCATTTTGAATTGTATATTTGGTTTAAGTAATGTGCAACAAAAAAAAAATGAAAAAAAAAAGTCTGTTTAACATTACAAACATTTTGGAAAGTTCTGCTCTAAGTCAATGCATAAAAGTATTGAAAAATTTACATAAAAAAGCATTTAGCAGGTATAATTTCCATAAGCAAGAAAGCTAGAAATAAAAAGCTCATTTTTATAGGCAATCAGATAGGTACTCTTCCAATTTTCATTGCAGAAGTTTAACACCCAAGTAACAAAAAGCCATTAAACATGCATAAAACATCATTTTATGCTCAATTTTTTTCTGCTAATCAAAAAAACAGAAAGAATGGAAAAAAATCCTGCTACAATATTTATAATATTATTTCTACAGTTTTAGAAGAAATGGATATATTTACATTTAAAAATCTTGTTTACTTTATGTAAACATTGCCACCATAAAATATCATAGCCTTTTTTGGCGTCATTAAAATACATCAATTTTTTAAAATCTTCCAAAATTTATCTAATTATTGGATTTAAATAAAACTATTGGCATTTATGTAAAAGAGGATTTTTTAAGAGTAGTTTATCTTCAAAATTTTGCAAAAGAATTTTTTTTCATGCAATTTCATCCTACCTTTTTTTTTTAATTTGATGAATTTCAATTGTTTCTCATGATGTATAACATTGATGTTTACATATTTTAAAAGTGAGTCCTTGAAAAATAAATACTGAAAAAATAAAAATTTGGGACCCAGAAGATAAGTCAATATGGCTGCCAGAGTAAAAAACAAAATATGCCCCCTTTCTGAATATTCTTAATTCTATTTTTTAATTTAGATTATAGAGCTACTATCTGTAAGAAAGTAACAACAATTTTATATTTCAATAAATGTAATCTTCTTTCTTTAATTTTTGGAAACGAATATCACTTTCAGGATTTTGTTTTAAAAAAACTCGATGTCCTTTTAATAAATGAATATACAAAGAAATTGGGAAAATATTGTCTCCAACAATTCTTAAAATAATTTTTTTAAAATCTTACATGACTGTTGGTTGGATATTATTATTATTATTATTATTAACTATAGGTGTGGAGACTCTTAAACCTTTCTACTTTTTAGTTGTCATTATTCTTGCACCAGCTATGTTGTAGCTAAGACACACTGATTGAAAGAACAAATAAATGTATGTCTTCTACATTACTTTCAACAGAATTTTCTAGAGAATTTGTAGAATTGACCAATATACTACAAGCTAATATTGTATATATGGACATATATCATACATAAAATTTGGATAATTGTAATATGCAATTTAAGGAAGAAATCTTAAATTTTACTAATAACTATTATAAAATGCTTTATTTTAGAGAAGATAAAGATGATGACAATGACGTAATTTCAAAATATGGCCAAGGAATAGATTATTTAAATAAGGATTTATATTTTTTAGATTAAGCCTAATAAAGTAGATCATGCATTGATTTCTCCTGTCTGCATCCAAATCATTGAAATATTTTGTAATTGTCTTCCATGTAAAATTCTTTTCAATTGTTCCAATACTTCACTTGTGAAAACACTATTACATATTTTTCTATTTTGAAAATATTTCTTCCTAAATTTTTTCACAATGAAAATTTTATTTCTTCAAATATAATAAAATATTTTTGGTAAAAATGATTAATTGAAACAAAAAAAAGTTTTCCTCACATAATCAACATTTCATGTGACATATGTTAGAATTAACTTTTAAAAAGTAATGATTGATCAACTAAAAAATCTTGATGATCAACAAAAAAATATTACAGAAAAATAAAGTTTAAAAAAATATATTTTTTATTAAACTTCATTTTATTCATAATTAAAAATGGAAGCAATTAAATTTCCCAGTTGCTGCAAGTTTCTTGTCAGCCAGTAATACAAATATTACTGACCCAACCCAAATTAAACGTTTTTTAATGTTTTGTAAATAAAATTTGAGAATTTTTTGGTGTAGTTAAATCAAGTGAAGATTAAAGTAACTATTTATAAAAATGTTTACTTTTTAAAATCTTTATATAAGTAAATATCTTAATTTTTAAGTAAAAATCTTTACTTTTTAAGAGATTTTTTTTTTACTGTTTACAATATCTAGTTTTCTGTCAGTCAGATAATAGCCATTCTTGATATTTTTGCCAATTAAGAACTAATTTTTACTTTGTTAATTAAATTTCGGGGTCTTATGTTTGACATGAAAGTAAGAAAAATTCAGAAAAAAAATTCATTTTTAAAATTTTAATATTTTTTAAAATGATGTTAAGACTTTGGTTGAAATACCTCAAATCAGAAAAGTATGACAAGCCTATTACAAAACAGCTATATAGATTTAAAACACTTTGAAGTGCTTGTTATACTCAAAGAGTAAAACAGAAGATAAATTAAACAAAGAAAAATTGAGTGCTTTTTATGAGACATCACAAAATATCACTATACAAGTATTTATTTAAATTTTGTTCAACTTAGTGTACATTTAGAACTGAACAAACATTGGATCAATTATGCTAATTCTTGAAGAACCAATAAATTACAAAACACAAGGGACAACTTCTCGACCCATGATAAGGACAAAGCAAGAAGCGTGTGTCATACTTTATCAAATATCTTTATAATTATTAGAGATAAAGAGACTAAATATATGCATACCATTCAATAGTAGATTAAAAAAAAATTAAACTTACCTCCACCAAGAAGTAATAAAGGCAGGTTGAAGGTGTTTAAGTAACGTACACAGGCAGCCAAACCTCGAGGTGTAAGATTAAAGGAATTCATGGGGTCACCAGCAATACCATCAGCCCCACACTGGCAAACAATGACTTCCGGAACAAACACTCGGAAAATTTCAGACAACACTCTGATAACAAAAAGATAAAATAGAATTTTTTGCTAAAATAACCTAAGCAGAAACTAAATGCATTAAATAAAAAAAGTATACATTGATTTATTTGCACAGGTATCTTTATCTTCATTGTTGAGGTCAAAATATTACAGCTATTGTGACCTTCGTCCTTGATCAGATGCTTGTGTAAAAAAAAGAAAGGCTGAAACATTGTGAATATAATTACCAAGATGACAGTACTAAGGATGAAAGTTCATTAGAACAGACCGAATCCAGAGCCTTCTCATTCCTTGGAGGAACCCGTCCATGATTGACCAAAACTATAGGACTCAGTCTGTCCTGCTATTTACTAATAGATGGGGAGAGAAAAAAATAGATTTATACCGTTGCCAAGGGTATATGCACTTAAATGAATGTAATGAACTCAACTGAATTTCGAACTTAGCTCTCCGATTTCTCAATCTAAGCCACTATCTATTATTCCACCATGCCTCCAAGATCTTATGGTCTATGTTGTCAAGGGATTATGCTTGAGCTTAGGGAAGAATTAACTGAAAAATACGGATTTCTTATGTAAAAAAACAAACACGTGTAACAGACTGAGAATAATCTTCACTTGTATAGCATTACAGTTGGAGGATAGATGAGGGGAAACAACTCCTTAATTAATTGTTAATTGAAGTTACTTCCCTTGCACATTTTTTTTTAGGGTGTTGATTTATATAATTATAAAAGACTACACCAGACTAAAGTCATCAATTTTTTTTTTTTTTTTGTGAAACAGTTTCTCCCAGTTAGCGAAAATCTTCTCCGAATCGTAAAATAAAAAATGCGATAAAATTAAGATGTAATTAGAAAAGCTTTTATTCATTTTCATGAATAGAGATATAAACACTAATGTTTAAGAAAAAAAAACATTTTTGATGAATGAATTTTTACAAGAAATGCTTCCATTTTTTTTTAAATTTAAAAAAATTAAAAATTTAATTATAATAATTTATAAAGTTTTAAATCTTTTAAATTTGTGTATTACTTTGTACCAGTTAGGCGATACAGTTATTAAGTAAAAACTATATTTTCTTATCATAAATGGAAAAGCTTACTACAATTAAATCCAAAATATTTCAAAAAGCATTTTGAATTTTGTGTGTGTGTGTGTGTGTGTGCATAAACATACTAATTTCTGTAAATACAGATGTCCATACACAATATTATCAAAAGTAAGAGTGTTAACTATAGCAAATTTAAAGTCAAAGTACCTAAAATTCAATAAAATATTAGATTACAGAGAATATTTTCTTAAATTTTTAAGATTATTGGGTAGCTAAAAATTACACTATATTCCTCAAGTAATTTGTGCAGATATGTTTCCCATAGAAAAACTTAGATGAACTTCAAACTGCCAATCAAGCTGTCAGACTGTGAACACCTTAAATAAACATCTACCACCATGTTAAAAAAACAATTGATATTTGTTTAAAATCAGATTAATTAAACTTTAAATCAGCTAATATTCCTCAAATAAAGTATCAGAAAAGTATATTTAATTTTTGAAAGATTTTTTAATAAAGAGAATTATACTGCACTGACAGATGGATAATAATGTCTAAATTCAGCAATTTTTAGTCATTTTCAAGATTTTAAAAACTCCTTCCAGCCAATTTCAATTAGTTTTGAAATGAAGCAAAGTATTTTGCTTATTGGAAATATTAAATTTAATCTATTAGCTTAGAATAATAAAGCTACAAAAAAGATGTTTCATTTTTAAAAATTCATTTTAAACCTTAGGTAGCTTGTTTTTTAGGATATACCTAGACTAAAGTGAAATTTATGTTGATGTGATTACACATATGCACAAAGGAGGGAATGCTGAGAATTTTAAATTTAAATTTTATATTTTTTTTTTTAAATATATGTCTTGGGTATATAGTCTATCCAATTTCATTTAGTTTCATTTTGCTCACATTTCCATCACTTTTGTAATTAAATATACTACATTATAATAAAAGATCTGCTAAAAAAGATAAAAGACCTATTATGCTGAACAAGTAATTAGTGTTGTTTTGTAGACAAAAACCCTTTTGTGCATGACAATAATTTTAATTTAAAAAATCCTACTCTAATTAAAAGAAAAATTTACTAAAACGAAAATGTATAGAAAGTGCTTTAATCGCTAGAACATCTACAGTAAATTTACATCCAGGTTCTTAAATTTCTTGTCAGATCTTCTATTTTCACAGTATGGGATATTTAATAACAAAGTGATGGAAATCAGTTAGACCATATATCCAAACATATACATTTAAAAGAAAAAATTAAATTTAAAATTCTCATCATCCCATCCTTCATATAAAAATGTAAATTAAATAAAAGGTTCAGTTCAAAATACCCTGAAGGTTAGGTGGATCGACAGACACCTGAACAAGGCCTGAGGGCACAATGGCTGAAATGTTGTGATAATAACAATAATGACAATGATATTAGCTTACTTTTACCCTTTAAAACCATACTTAGTATTTCAACATTTAATACTCCTTCTTTAAGTAGATAAACATTTTATGGGCCAAAATATTCATTTAACTTTAAATTTATAAATCATGGTTTGTAGATGTTGGCCAGTATTTTTTAGGATTTTTATGAACAGTAGAAACATTTCTAAAACTATTTTCAACATTGGAAGGTTTTTTTTTTTTTTCTCAATAGTGTAATACTTCAGAATTACATCTTGACAGCTGATCTTTCTGCAGATCTAGCTCTCACAGTTCAATGGGGAAAGGGACTGGCTTGTATCATTCAATGCCTCCAAAACAAAACTAGTAGTATTTCATTGACACTGAGCAGGCCCTAAATTTACTCCTGTCCTGATGAGCTGTCATAATCCTAGTGGGGCTCCTTGCCTCAAACGCCTATGGGGACTAAAACTCACTCCATGCATCAAGTGGAAGTTGTATATTCATACCATCATGAAAAATGCTTGAAAAATAGTCAGTTCCTTGTATAACATGAGAAACTACAACTCCTAGCACCATGCTCAATCTTTACAAGAACCAGATCAGATCACGAATGGAGTATTGCTGCCATATCTGGGCTAGTGCTACCCATTCCTCACTGTCCATCTTTGACAAAATTCAAAAGTAATTTTGAAAGCATGGCCTTGTGGGTAATTATTTTGCACCCTGCAACACCTTCCCCACAGATGAAACATTGCTAGCCTCTTGCAGCTCTATTGCTATAAATAGGTCAAGTGTCAAACAAGGTACATTCCTTAATCCCACCAGTTCAGACATTTACAGTTGAAACCCACCTTGACATGTAGTCAATCATTTTCTGATGTCCCGTAGACTCCACAACTTAAAAAAAAAAAAAAAAAAAAAACACTAGGCATTGCTGCTGTGGTTTTTACAAGATGAAGTTGCTAACACCATGCCCAAACAGTTGTGTCCTTCATCTAGGCGGCTTGCCAACTGTTATGATGCTGATTTTGGGTTAGTAGAGACAAACGCCAAATAACACGTAACAATAAAAAGGGTTTTAATAGGTTGGTAAAATGGTACAGAAATCGCCTGAGTAGTCAATAACTAGCTCAGCTAAGAACTTCTCTGTCTATCTATCTTCCCCATGTCAACTGACATGCCACTATTTAAAGTCTTTGTTCACAGACGCAGACAAGTTCATCTTCAAGAGGGGTGGGAGGTTTCCGACACAACACCAACCAAGGCTAAAGAGCCCAGCCCGCTGTGCTATTTCACCCATAGGTGGGGGAAGAGGCGGATTCATACCTTTCCCAAGGTTATTTGTGCATGAGTGAATATAACAAATTTGATCAAACTCAGCTCTCCAGACATGATGTCAAATCATCCTTGTTCCCTTTAATAACAGAGAAGTTCGACTTGCACAGCTTCTTCCCTAGAGCTGTTGCTTTGTGGAATAAACTACCAAGAGGATGCTTCCCCAACTACTAGAATCTTGGCCTCTTCAAGTCTAGGGTCAACTCATATCTATACTACATATCCTCATAGTATGCACCTTTTCTGTCTTTCTCCTCCCTTGCACGCTTGCAACTATCTCATTTTATGACCCTCTCTACTTTGGACCTTGCATTGGGTAAACAATAGTATAAAAAAATCTTCCAAGTTAAAAAAAGAATAAAAAACAATGGGTACAATTTTAATTTTTGTCATACCTTTTAAAGAAAGCAACAAACTCCAGATCTTTCAGTCCGTCTATAAAGGGAACATTTACGCAATGGTAAAGACCTTTCCCAAAGCCGATGTCATTTGCTTTGCCAGTTCCTTAAAAATTTAAAAAAAAAAAATTAAAAGAAAAAAAGAAAAAAGAAAAAAGAAAAAAGAAGAAAAAAAAAATGAAAAGAAAAAAAAAATGAAAAGAAAAAAGAAGAAAGAAAAAAGAAAGAAAAGTAAGAGAAAAGTAAGAAATTAAGAAAAGAAGAAAAAAAGAAGAAAAAAGAATGAAAAGAAAAAAGGAAGAAACATTAATTTATATATAATTCATTATTTCATAATTTGATGAAAAAAAATTTAATAGAAAAGATAAAAAAACTTGATCAAAAATTAATTCAACAGTTTTTGTTTTCATCTGCATAATCATAAGAAGAATGCAAAATATGACTGTTGAAATTAAATTCACATATCACTGGGAAAAGAGAAGTATTATTTCTGATGCAAAAACAACTGAAAATAATAACACTGATGAAATGAATTTCAATGGAGAAAATAATGACTTCTCCAGTTCTCAACCATTAAATTTTATTTTAATCATTTCACCCCAAATAAAGCAGGAATGCCACTAGTATGCAGGGGGTTATAGGGAGTAAAAGTGTATTGCAGACACAGTAGGGTGCAGTGCTGGTTTATTACAAAGTGGCCTTGTGCCAGACACCACACAAAAACCACCGAGTCCACAAACAATGTATAAAAAATGCGTGAACGAACAGAGGAGAAGTAAAGTGGTCATTCAACACGTGCATTAATTACAAATGTCAAAAAGATAGCCTGAATAGAATGACAAAGGCGTCTGAATGCAAAACGTGTAATTTTTATTAAATTGAAAACAAGTAGGTTATCTCGTCATTCGAGATCAGAGAAAATGTTCCGCGCCAAAACAGGAAAGCAAGATGGACAAGGCGGGGAAAAAGGTTTATCAGAATGAAAAGTTCTGGAAAAATATAACTCGTTAACACAAGGTGCAGGTGTGCACAAATAGAAACAGTACTCACTGTTTATTTGGCATTGTAAATGTATGTGATTTTTTTTTTTTTTTTTTTAAGTTCAGGTTCAAGCTAGAGAGAATGTTCAGTCATCTCCGATTTTTGGTCGAAAGGCAAAGGGGAATGTAACCAGTCGTTAACTTAAGGACATTGAATTAACTGCTGAAAATTTTTATCGGATTGATGTGGACGTCTAGCCAAAAGGACGAAGAATTATTTGCAATTGGTTGCATCGTCTTGGTGAAGTTACTTATGGCGATTCAAGAGAGACAAAGAATATTTGTAGTTAGTTGCATCGTCTTGGTGAAAATTACTTATAACGAACCAAAAGGGACGAAGAATTATTGCCGATAAGATATCCCTGTCTGTATCATGGTTAATTGACGAGGGATAAATGAGTCAACTTCTTGGATCGAGATTTTTAGACCGACTGAATTCAAACGATTAGTTTGTCCATGACGTCAGGGAAAAAACGGTAATTTAAATCTGTTAGACTGGTGACATCAGCAGGAGCTGGTCATCGACATAACTTACTCTAGTTAAAACAAAGAGATGGCTTACTGCTATATTTAGCTTAACGAGAGAGGAAGGGGCGTAATCAGTGGACGCGCGCGCACACGCACAAGTGTGGAAGAAAGGGAGGAAAACTCGCGCGCGCGTAAAATGTAGATGGAATTACTGTATTATTCCATAAGTGAAAGAGAAGACTTAGTATATGAGAGGATTGAGGAAAGGACAAAGGATGAACGGGATTCAAGACAGAAGATGGTGATTGATGCTGCATTTAAGTTTTTGAAGTTATCAGGGAAGGGAGTTTCACAAGTGGGAAATGCAAGAAAAGAAACTCTGGAATAGAAGTGGCAGTTACATTTAGCTATTTCAATACTAAGTAGGTAGGACCAAGATACCAATCTATTATCATGCTTAAATTCATGTAGTCAGGTCACCAAGGTAAAAAAAAAAAAAAAAGCTTGTCAGAGCAGCTGCCATGAAAGAATTTATAGAAAAGACAGTGAGAAGCTGGTAACTTCTTATTTCAATCTTTGTAAATACCTCCAGTTACATATAAAGATATTAGCATCAGAGCATTTAACATTAGAAGACTTGTGAAAAAAAAAAAAAAAAGCAGGAATTATTTGCTTAGGACACTGATATATGTTGTCTCCAAGAGACCAAAGCTTACAGCCAGATCATGTTGAAACACCAGTTCTCGTACGATCACCAAAGTTAAGCAACATCAAACCTGGTCAGTACCAAGATGAGTGACAGCTTGGGAACATCAGGTGCTGTAAGCTTGGATGTGTGTGTGATGTAATGAGGAACAGCTCAGAAATGGAAATCAGAGAGCCGAGTTCCAATTCCAGGCAAGTTCGTTATAGTCATTTATGCACAAATACCCATGGGAAAGGTATGAATCCGCCTCTTCTCCCGCCAGCTATGGGTTAATTAGTAAGACTTGTATCAATAAATTATTATTATCTCTAAACAAATTCTTACAATCTAAAGATATTTTCTGTTTTCAAATAACCTGCAAAAAGTTGATAAGCTGAAAAAAAAGCAAATCAATCAATGAAAATCCAAGACGCAAAAATCAAAGAAAGATTTTATATTAATTGTGAAGTTCAACAGCACATTGCTTTGGAAGTATACAGTAAATATTATGAAAATAGTTTTGTCATCAATACAAAATGGAAGAATAACATCCATAGACATTTGACAAAGTATCAGGACTTGGAATATAACAGCATTATCTTAATGTTGCCTACAAGAAATTATCAAATAAGAAATGAAACAGGGTAAATGTTAATATTCTAATGATTTGGGAAACTAGATGAGCAAATAATGAGGATATTGTAAGTGACAGATAGAGTCATAGATGCAGGCGGAGAAAAAATGAAATAGAAGTCAGACTTGTATTAGATTAATGTGTAAAGAAATATGTTCTGAAATACTGTCAACTGACAGAATTCCTCTAGTTAAGTTGAAAGAGAAGCCATTAAATACATCCATTATAGTAATATATGCACCAACAGCACAAATCATGGAAGAAAAAATTGATATATTTTTCAGCACACTGGATAACATTAAAACTCAAAGCAATAATCATCTTGGGAGACCTAAATTAAGATCTTTATTGATTGATTCATTCATTTTTCTACGTTTTATCAACCCAATGCAAGTTATTTAAAACCAGAAAATAATTTTAGATTACAAGAATTTTCTTTTTTGGGTGGGGGAGATGATGATTTTAGTGACACAAGTCTTACTAATTAACCCATAACTGGGAGGCAAATAGGTGGATTTATAGTTTTTCATTATATTCACTTACATGCAAATGCATGTAAGTGAATATAATGAACCCCAACTGAAATTGGAACTCTGCTCTCTGATTAACAATTTCAAGCTATTATCCATTATACTACACACACATCCATGCTTACAGCACTTGGTATTCCCATGAGGTCACCCTTCTGGGTACTGATCAAGCTCAACGTTGCTTAACTTCAGTGATCATACAGGAACTGGTGTTTCAACATGATGTTATGTCTTGAAGACAGAAGGCATAACTTCTGAAATGTGATAACAACAAAGATGAGGACACTAGTTCAAATGTAAATAATATAAACAAAATTTTAGATTAACATATTAAGAATGTATTTTCAACTTTCTGGAAAATCTTACCTGGAAAAAATCCAGCTGAGAATTTATGAAATGAAACTGTAAATACTTTAGAAGTGGCAGCAAATGCTTCTTCCACACCTGCAAATAAAATTATAAATGTAATAACTTACAAAATATCTTGTCGATACATATGCCTTGAAATTATAACCAATTTTAAATATGGTAGGACCTTGCAGTATGAGTTTAATTAGTTCCCAGACCAAACTTGTATTGCAAATTACATGTATTACAAAGCATTTTTCCCCACTAAAATTAATGGAAGATTAATTAATCTATTTCAGTTTCCCCAAAGCATCAAAAATGTCTATCTTAGAATTTAAAAAATAGAAAACAAACAGTAAAAAATTAAATCGCAAAAGTACCTGTAATAAGAACATAAGAGAGAATGAAAGAAATAAACAGCTTTTATTAAACTACAATCCATTCATAAAAAAGTTTCTGGCATTTTCACTCAGAACTTAAGGACTTCTGTTGCATTTTATTCACTTTTGGTACTTGCAAGTCATTTCTTTAGAAACTTAACAATTGAAATCAGTTTCATTCTTAATTTCAAAATGCCACAAAAATAGCCGACACAATTTTTGTTGAACAAAGCAACCACACGACTTGCACTTGGTATTTTTGCACAAAGTCATGCACCTTTTATTCCACATCAGCAGCACTTCTTTGATCTCACTCATGGGGACAATCTCCAACCCACTTTCTTCCTTGGCTAGTTCCTTTACCTCCTCCATGTTTTGATGCTGCTGAAGCAGCTGAAGTTCCTCTGTCATCAGCTCCACTCTGTGCTTGTTGATGAGCTCATCAGCATTGCTCACGTCAACCTTGAGGCCTAAACACTTGCCAAGAGACACGGGTTCATCTGTAGTGAAATTCTCAAATTCCTTGTCAGAGATGCATTCAGGCCACAGCTTCCTCCATGCAGAATTCAAGGTCCTACTCGTCACATCCTGCCAGGCCACATCAATGATGCAGAGGCAATTCACAATGTTGAAGTGGTCCTTCCAGAAATCATTAAGGACTATGTAGTGAAAACTGGAATGAAAATAATCACCCACCTGATCGAAAACGACAGCGTATATGTTCTGCGTGCAAGGTTTATCTTTTTTGACTGGTAAAAACATGGCTGCCTCGGCAAGCTTATATTGCAAATGGTCACGTATCCTCACACAGGCGGTTGCATAAAACCACGGAAAGTGAATTCACACATGCAAATGAAGGAGGGCAGAAAAGGACATAAAAACGCTGAACACTCATCACTTGAAAAGAATCTTCTGCAACGTTGAAGAAGAATCATGTAAAGGAGAAAGCAGAGGCGCAGGAAGAGATTATCGAGTAAATTGAGAGAGTTTATCAGTCGTTGTGGTTTTACACCAGGTGCACCAAGTGAATAGTGTGTTTGTTCAGGAATGTTGTCAGTCATCACGGATTTGCACCCGGTACAGACTACATTTGTATTCTTGGTGTCATCAAATCACTGACAAAACAGGTGCTTAGTATACAATTTCTTAAAATTGGAAATCACTTGCTTATCCAGAGGCTGCAAGATAGGGGTGGTGTTCAGTGGCAGGTAAAGAACTTTAATAAATTTAAAATTTTCCAAGATTTCATTGTAGAGGTTTGGAGGGGTGTCCAGAGGCATTATCAAGGATGAATAGGGCCTTCATAGGAAGATTGCTCTTTTCGATGAATGTATAGACTTGAAGGCCGAAAACATTGTTGATCCATTCTATAAAAAATGGCCTTGTGACCCAAGCCTTACTGTTAGTCCTCCACATGATCTGCAGCTGCTCAAGTGGTTCTTGGGCCTTGTACAAAGTGAACATTATTACAAGCTCACTACTCTACCAGTATTTCCATGGGAATGGTTCAGACAAAATACATTCCTTAGTTCCACCAGTCCTAACCCTCATGGCTAAGACACACCATGCCACACACACATTGTAGTGTACCACTCTTTGTATTCCATTGATGTGGCATGAGTTCCACAGCTTCTTCCCTCGAATCACTACTTTATGGAACCGACTCCCAAGAGGATGCTTCCATGATCACTACAATCTTAACCTGTTCATCTAAGGTTAACCATTATCTTCCCCACATATCCTCATAATCTGTGCCTCTTAATCTGTAACCCTCTACCAGAAGTGGTTTTTGGGCCTTGTACAGGGTGAACATTATTGCAAGAGAAAATAAAGAAAATAATACAAAGAAGCCAAAAAACAGTTACCATCTCCATGATGGAGATCCAGATCAACATAAAGGACACGGTCATAGTCCTTCCTCAATTCTAGTATTGCCAGCACACAGTCATTGACGTAACAGAAACCAGCAGCTGTGTCTCTACAAGAGAATTGGTAAAACTTAATTATCAGATTTATTTTTCAATTTTACAGTAGTCATCAAAGAGGATATTGCAAAAATAGTTAAAATATAAACCAAAAAGTTAATTCTGTTTTTGTCATTATATGACATAAAAAAGATTAGTACTAAAAAAGTACACAAACCATCAAAGACAACATACTAAAATTACAGGGTGTCCTAAAAAGTTGACATCATTTAAATTGTGAATACCTGAGTAAATACATGTTCCAGGTAAATGAAATTAAATAAGTTTCATGTTGAACAATAAAAGATTTATTTATCAAAATTCAAACAAGTTATTCAAAAGGATGTAGATTTTATAATTAATTTCACAAAGCTTCACAAATGTTCAATATGTGCACCACCTGCCAAACACGCTGTAGCATGTCTTGCATAACATTCTCTGTCACTTCAGTGATTCTCTGCTATATTTCCTCTAGGATTGTAGGAAGAACAGAGATAGAGACCTGTCCTTTCACATAGCCCCATTGAAAAAAAATCACAAGGTGTCATGTCAGGTGAACATGGTGGCTATTTCAACAGCACATTGTCATTATCATTGGCATGCCCGATGCATCTTCCTGGTAGATTCTCATAAAGATAAGTCCACACAGTCAACTTAGTTTTTGCACATTTTGTTAAAATTTGTGATCATTTGAGCAAGAATTGGCTATGTTATTAGATTACAAAATGATGGCAATTTTTTTTTTGGCGGGGGGGTCACTTACAATAAACTTACAACTTATATACTTCAAGATACAAAAGGTAGGAATATAAGTTAAATATAATTATACAAAATTATAAAAATAATACAAAGGTACACACAAATATCATGGCATATCTACATATGTAAATAATATGTATATATATATATATGCATATATGGTCACATATGAATAACCACATTTACAAAAAATATTAGATTATGTTTGTTTCTATCTATATATCACTACCTTCTATACAATATTCATATGAAAAAAAAGTATATATATATATATATATATATATATATATATATATATATACTTGCCATCCTTTTGCACAAGCTCAGAGTCGTGGACTCCATACAGGTACCATATACACTAGCTGGATGTTTTCCATAAAAGCTGTCTGCGTGTAATCTGTGGAGCTAACCTTCAAGATAAGACATCTAACGTAGACCTGTTTAACAGGTGTAATATTGGAGGAATCGAGACTTTTATCATACAGTCTCAGTTACGATGGACTGGTCATGTCTTGAGAATGTCTGATGACAGGATACCCAAGATCTTCATGTACAGCCAGTTAGATCAGGGCTACAGGAATGTAGGACACCCATGGCTAAGATACAAAGACAAGCTGAAGAGAAACTTGTCAGCTGTCAATATATCACATAACATCCTTGAGCACTTAGCCTGATAGCAGGTAGAATGGAGATCAATGTCTTTTAATGGAATCAGCAGTTTTCAATCTGCTTGTCTGAATTGTCTTCAACAAGCTAGAGCAAAATCTAAGAGGTCAGCCAATCTAGGAGTGATCTCATCCCACAATCATCACTCTTGCTCCATATGTGGCCTCCTTTGTAAATCACTATCGGGTCTTAAGTGCCACTTAAGATTATCACACAAAATTTCATAACTGAAACAATTAAGCTGTCAGATCCTCATACATCGAAACCAACAAGAGAATCCATTATTATATATATGTATGTATGTATGTATGTATGTGTGTGTGTGTGTGTGTGTGTATGTATATGATACATCCATACGTATACACAAATAGAAATATAGATAAAAAAACATTCATATATAGATATAAAAAGAAATATATTTATGATTGTAGCTACCCATATATCTAAAGAATATATATAAATTGTAGATACATCTCAGAAGCATAACATCACATGTGTACTTACATACACACATAAAACAAATATAAAGCCACACACACAAACATACACGTCCTACTCATATAATAGAAGTGACACAATACATGAAATACATATTGTGACTAATATGTGCTTAATCATTAGATATGAGAAGATATTAAAAAAACAAAAACTCCAAGACACAAATAAATATAAACTAATTCAAGACAGTTATTATACAAATAAATATTCAACTACAGAAAAAGTAACAGAATGAATTAAAAAAGGAATGTATAGACTTCAATTGAAATCAATAAGGTTCAACATATTTTACAATCACATTAGTCCAGTAGATATATAAAAATTTAAATTATGTAACATGAAATCAAACAAAAATCTAAATAAATTTCAAATATTAAAATATAGGTAATTATTTATAAATGTATGTATATATAATTTATGTATGAATATAGATGAGCATTTGTGTATATTGTTACACGTGTGTCTATGTGTGTATTTGCGCATGTAAATAAACGTATGTATATATGGGATTTGCATGAATATGTTTGTGATATATATATAAGAAGAAAGCAAAATCTTTAATATTACCCTCAAATATTATTCCATAATGAAACCTAAACCTTAAGTAAGTTTACCCATAATATAATAAAGAAAAAATGCATTCATAAATTAGATTAAAAGTAAAACTAATAAAGATGTTACCGTAACTATTTTTACAATATTAAGGAAGTACGATTGGTCGGGTAAATAAACTATTATAATTTAAAATACTTCTTTAATATGTTCTCTATAAATGTGTTAATAAAAATAGTAGTTAACTTATATTAAGTCCCTAAACTATTTGCTTAAAAAATTAAATATTTAAATTGATAGCAATCATCAAATTTTTTTAGACATCTAAATTTCTATCAAGCATTGAAATCTATCCTTTACATAAATTGTTAAAACCCAATTACAGCCTCTTTCGATTTACTTCCCTCTCCCTCTCTCTCCTTGCTGTAACACTCATTTGTATATATCTGTATTACTGTTTTCTGTCTCCTCTTTCTTTTTCATTTTTCCTTTTTCTTTTCTCCCTACTCCCCTTCCATTTCTATATATCATTCCCGTTAAGTTAACCATCTAAATAGGTCAAGGTCTGGTCACTCCTCCTACCCCAATATAAAGTACACTTGAGAGAGATATGAAATTAACCCCTCCCTATACTCTACCATGTCTCTTTAACTATCCCTCTCACACCCTCTGTTAAATTACAAAAACTTACACTACCCATCAATTTTAATCTCATTTTTCGTTTTATTTCGTTGTTGGAAGTGCTATCTGATGATCCGGTGTCCTTTTGAAAGGACTCTGGTGAAATAAATTATTATAATGGTACCTTAAAATGGTCTGTTTTCTTTTAAATATTAGCTCTGGAGTTACATTGAGCTCTCAGGATTTCATCCTCCTTGAGAATACCCATACGGATTACCAAGTTCTTCATAACTTAAATATATATATATATATATATATTGATAATATTAGTGAATTTTTATTTTTTATACCCGGAGTTATATTTTCCGATTTCTTTTTGAATTTGTAGATCTGATGAATTGGATCGTGATTACGATTCCAATGTAATAAATTATAACCATGGAATATTAGTGTTTGAGTTTGTTTTATTATATATATATATATATATATATAAAAAAAACTTTGGGCCACAGAATTTAAATATGACTTTGAAACTGACAGAACACTTTTAAAGGAACATTTTTTGTCCAACACTTCTTCAGAAAGATTCATTAGAACATCAATAATTAAAATAGCGAAACTGAAAAAGGTAGACACAGGCAGGGATTATATATATATATATATATATATATATATATATATATATATATATGAATTTTTTATATATACAAAGTAGAATTTTAGGAAAATATGCAACAAAGTGCGTAAAAAAGGATGAAACATGTTACAAGGAAAAAATGTTACACTTTATCCTAATGTGTGTGTGTGTGTGTGTGTATTATATATATATATATATATATATATATATATTAATTCATATATGAAATTTGTCACTTAGCTGATTGATGTCATATTCAGAAAGCCAACTCCAAAGTTTCATAAATTAACCTTTTTGTAACTGTTCAGTCCACTTGTCAGGAGGTAGCAGCAATTGACTACCAATTTTCTCATTTTTGTTATAGCTCACCAAGTATATGATAACATATATTTAATTAGCCATAAATGGAAGGCAATGTCACAAAATTTTATGAAGCATGAACCGAATTTCGTATCTCTTTCGGATATATCAAGTGCATTAACATGGCAGTTTTCACTTTGACAAAGGAAATGAAGAGGTGCACCATACTCATGGCACTAGCCATCGACCACAGTGATTCAAAGACAGTGAGCTTCTTGAAAGTGGTCAGGTGAACAAGGAACGAGGAACAATTGATGTCTCTGCACAGAACCCAGACAGGTATCCGCATCTGTGATGGTTCTGGGCCATATGAGTAATGAGGGTCATTTCATGCCCACCCACATTTTGCCAAAGAGCCTTGGGGTCAATGCCACCATCTATATCAAGGTACTAGACAGTGTTCAATCAAGGAAATGGCCATATATGCATGGCAAAAATCTGCTCCCTTCAGCATGATTGAGGAGTAGTCTGGCCAAGAATATTCCCTATCATTTCACCATCAACAGGTGAGCAGCTCTTCTGATTTAAATCTCCTGGACGACTACATTCAGGACATTATTCAAAGACCAACATGATGCCCAATATGATCAAGAAAAACCTGATCCAGAAATGTAACTTTATGCAAAGCAGCATCATCATTGTCCCTAAGAATGAAGATAGTTCTACTGAATAAACGTTTTTCTGTGTTTCTAAGATGAATCTATGTAGAATTTTTTTATTGAAAAGTAACATTTTTTTTCTATTGAATATCTTTAATTTTCTTTATATTTTTCTCTATTGAATATCTCTGATTTTCTTTATTTTTTCTCTATTGAATATCTGATTTTCTTTATATTTTCTCTATTGAATATCTGATTTTCTTTATATTATAATTTCTTTTTTTTCTACTGAATATCTTAAATCTTCTTTATACAGGCATCTTTTGATTAATGCATTTTTCAATTAGTGCACTGAAAGTTCTATATACCAAAATTTGATTAGTTCATACATAATACTCAGTGAGGTAAAACATTCTTCAACTTAACCATAGTAATTGAAAACTGATTTTTTTATAGTTACCAATGTGCACATTAGCCACACTAATAAAGAGATTCCTGTATTATAATTTTCTTTTCTATTGAATATCATTGATTTTCTCGATAATTTGTTTTCATTTACTTGGTACACTCTGTATATAATTTTATTTTAATCTTTTTAATTCACTTTTGTCCTAATTTCTTTAGGAAAGGCCTGAATTCATCTCTTTTCCTGCCAGATGTAGAATTCTAATTCATGAAGATGGCAATAGGAAACCAATCAGTTATCTTTCCCAAGAAATTGTAGTAATTCTCAAATACTAAATAAAAGGAATCTGTGGAAAGCCATGATTGCATAAATCTTTTAGAGGCATTAAAAAATGAAATAAAAAATTTCTGGCAATCTTTAATTTTCAAAAAACAGTATGTCAAAATGATTTTCCCTTGACTCCACTAATATTTTAAATACCTTCACTCCTCAGCAATGTTTATTGTTTTAAAAAGTGATGATTAGGATTTTAATAAAACTTAAACATATGAAAGTGAATTTATACATTTTCTTTGTTTTTGAGAATTGGCAACAAAAATAATAAAAACTACTTATTAGATTGTTTATTACACTATTTATTTTTTATATTGTTTATTAGAATGGTTGGCAAAACATCGGCTAATTGCCAATCAATTCAAACTTTATTAAATAACAAATAATATGAACTTCTTTATAGTTGATTCAGATATTTTAATAATTTAGTAAATGTTTATAAATTTATAAATAAAAAATTGTTTTCATATTTATTTTCTTATAAATTGGTAAATGATGAATATTGTATTAGTTTTTAGAATGTTGTAAATTAAAATTATTCTTGTAAACAAACAATCTAATAAATAGTGTTTAATAATTTTGTAAATTCTCAAGAACAAAAAATGTATAAATTCACTTTCATCATAAGTTTTATTACAATTCTAATCATTGCTTTTTAAAGCAATAAACATTGTGAAGGAGTGAAGGTATTTAAAATAATAGTGGTGTTAATGGAAAGACCGTCCATTTGACAAACCACTTTTTTTTTCAGGCACAAAGGTTCAAGATTTCCATAATTCCTTTGGTAAAATGAACCATGCATCAGGGTTACCTTCCTTGCATTGTATTGTATTAAAAATACAGAATTGTTTCTAGAAAAATTATATATATATATATATATATATATATATATATATATATATATATATATATAAAATTTATTCGAAAATTATAACCTAAATATGTTATAAAATCACTAAAAAAAGCCATTTTGTTTCAACACTTCTAGTGTTTTATCAAGTGATAGTGTAACATATTTAGGTTATAATTTTCGAATAAAATATATTTTGCTCTACTCTGTATTGAGCACTCTTTTAAGAATATTTTTTGGTTATTGGAATTTATTCCATATACACTAATCCTATACTTGTGTGTGTGTGTATATATATATATATATATATATATATATATATATATATATATATATATATTCAAACAGGTCTGGTTAAGTAATTTAGACATATCATGTCAATTAGTTTTTGTTGTGATCCTTTCAAGTTCATGCATTGATTTGTTGGTAGCCTTAGAAAATTGATTAAGAAAAATGCCAAAATTATCTTTCAAATAGTTTTTATTTTCTCCAAGTTCTTTCAATCTCATCTGAGACTATATATATATATATATATATATATATATATATATCACAAATTAATTACCAATCTTCTGACAACAAAAGATTCAGTATGTTTGGGTTTGTTTTTTGTTTTTTTTTTAATCATAATTGATTTACAAACAAGTCTTTGAATTTCATGCAAGGCTAATTTAATCTTCATACATAATTTTAATTAACATATTTAGATTTAATAATAGTTACATGTAAGTTTTTAATATTCAATGATATGATAGAAATTCAAGAGGTGCCTAATTATTGGGTTAAACATGTTTTATTGAATTGTGACTTCTCTTAGTCTGGCAAAATTAGCCAATAAGAAGCAGGATCAAAATGCTTTCAATTGCATTTCCTTACTTACCTTTGAGCATGATGCCATCCACCAAACCAATTAATGGCCACTTGGCATGGATCATTTTTGTCTGTCAGACAATGAGCTGCTTGAATTGTACTACCTGCAATATGACTGATGTAATCATAAATGCCTTTGTGGGTGGGACAATCATATGCTGTAAGAAAACAAAAAAAGAATATACTGTAAATTTAAACATGATTGCAGAAAAGGAAAATATATGTAATCTGCTGCTTTCCCATTTAAAATCAAGTTTTCCTACCAGTTCAAATAAGTTTCATTATCATACCTTATCAGATATCTGTAGCAGACATTAAAATTTTTCCGATATGCATGCATGGAAATCTCTATAAGCAGAAGTAACCCCTTTTCAGCTTTTGGTTATATGTAAAAAAAGAAAAAAACTGGGTACCTGCATGCTATACATTGGAAAAAGCTAGCTCTTTCACTGCAGGCCAAGATCTAGTAGGAGGCTCCATACAATAGACAAACATGGTTTATATGCATCACTCACTATCAAATTCACCAGTGGAATAAGTTCAATTTTTAATTTATCATTTACAGAGACTCTTAAGAACATTCCATGGAATTTTCTTGCTATGAAAAATGTTCCTGATAGAATAAATATTTCTATCTTGTTTCATTTCACTCTTTTGCCTGTATATTTTCTCAACCAACACAACACTAAGTTTTCGTTCAACACACAACCCCTAATCAAGTAACAACATATCCTTACATTTTAGAATTAACAAATTAAAAAAAGATGTATTGCTCTCTTATGAAACCAGAATTTTTCTTCTAAGTTAGTTTGCGGTAACAGCCCTAATTCTGCACCCTATACATTACAACCTTTTGTGTCTGTCACTTGAACTTAAAGGATACATTTATAGCACTTAAGAAATTATTAGATCTTTAATAGCACAACACTTACTCAGACCGTACTGGTCAGCTTCTTCCATATATTTCTCTTCATCATCGACATCATTAATGGACTGAAGAAATTGTAGGTAATTGCTTGAGTGAAACTGTAACATCTGCTCATAACTGGCAATGGCAGGATTCACAATCCTGCATAAAAATGAAACATCAATCACATAAACTATTATTGGAAAAAAGGCAATAACAAGACTTCTGATATTACACTATTAGGTTAAATATTCTTACTGTCTCAAAGACAACACCATTTTGTATTGTAGAAAACATTTTGGAAGTAACGTTATAAGATCAGCTTTGGGTAGAAAGAAAGTCATCAGTATTTACTTAAGTTGGTTACCTTGTTTAGCAGCATATCAACCTCTATGGATTATTTAATGCTGAAATGTAAATATTTATTGCACACAATTTTATTTATTTTGGGAGATAATAAAGGTTTAGTGATACAAGTTTTACTAATTAACCCATAGTTGTGGGGAGAAGCAATGGATTCATACTTTTCCCAAGAGTATTTGCATGTAAGTGAATATAATAAACCTGACTGGAATTGGAACTCAACTCCCCAATTAACAATTCCAGTCCATTATTCATTACACAAACCACACATTCAAGCTTACAGCACCTGGTATTCCCAAGTGGTCACCCATCAAGGTACTGACTAGTCTCAGCATTGCTTAATTCAGTGATTGTACAGGAACTGGTGTTTCAACATGGAGCTGGCAATGTCTGTGTACCTTGCGTGTCGAAAAAAAAAAAAACCTCTGTGTCAAAAGTATGGTTATTCATTTGACACTACTGTTTCTGTATACATTTTTAATTCCTTCAGTAATGTTTATTGTTTTTAAAAAGTAATGATTAGAATTTTGATAAAATCCAAATATATAAAAATGGATTTATACATTTTCTTTACTGACAAAGATATTAAACACTATTTACTTATTAAATTGAATAAAAAAAAATTATTTTCATAGTTATTTATAAAATGATAAATAATAAACATTGCATTGTAGTTGGTTTACATATTTGATAATTTTGTAATTTTTAAAAAATAATTTTTGAAAAAGATTTTTCAAATTTATTTCTTTATAAAATGATGAATAAATCTTTATAAAAGGTAAATAAAAAAACATACTATTGTACTTGGTTCACATATTTTTATAATCTTGTAAATAAACATTGCCAAGGGAGTCAAAAGTGTGTACAATAATAGTGATGTCAAGGGAATAACCATCTTTTTGATACTGTTTTTTTTTAATTGGCACAAAAAGTCATAACACTTGTGGGTAGGAATAAGTCAAAGAGAAATTAATTGTTTTTGTTTAAAACAGGAAATATTTTTAATAAAATAGTTAAAATATTCATTGGTTCTGTACTAACTACACAACATATTTGTGGTAAAATTCCATTTCATTCATAAAGAAAAAAAAATTTAGTTTATTAAAATATTACTTATTTCATTACAATTAAAATAAATATGGCTTTTATTTTATTAAGGGATATTACATAAATTAAAATATATTTTATAAAAGCTTTCTCTTGGAATTTCTTGGATGATTAATCTGTAAAGTTGCAAAAGGCAATTATCTCCCTTTGGTTAAGATGAATTCACAAGAGTCATGTGATAGCCAGTGGACGTCAATTCATAGAGTGACAAATCCAGAGTTGCTATGTAGACAGTGGAGAAGCAAGACGTGACAATGGCAGTCAAGAGAGCAGAAGAAACCCATGGTCACACCAGGTACATAAAGGAGACCACTGGCCTGCCCATTTTTCCATTGAGGAATATGACAAGTAAGAACCTCTCATTTCTTGCCTTTTCGCTTTGCCTGTTTTATCCATGTTACAATTTCACTGTGTGGGACAAATTAGTGATAAGTATTTATATATCTGTATATAATTTCTCATATGACATAATGGTATATAAAAATTTTTTTAAGAATAATGCATGTTTGTCATTCCTTTCTTTCAGTTATTTTGTTCTTTCCATGTATTAATGCATTACCATATTATATATATTAATGCTCAGAATTGGGAAATGTAAACTGAAAATATTCTTTCTAGCCTAACACCCCTAAAAGATTGATTTCTTCTTCGTGGATTATTAAAAGCTGAAACATATTTTGGATTATGAGAATAATTATATTTTTGCAAGTGAATATTGCATTATCAATTTTTTGGAAATAACAATAACTTTTCCAGATACATGTCCTATTATTTAACCCATACTTGGGGGGTTTTTGGAATGAGAAGTTATCATTATTTACATTCAGGCTAATGCCCCAGTCTTTGGTATTACTTACAAAACACTGGCTGTTGTGCCCTACAGTCTTTCAGGTGTTTTTCCATCCAGGGAATTTCGAAATGAATCATTTATGTCGTGGATAATGGAACAAAAAACAATCTACTCCCATAGATTAAATAAAGGGTTCACTACAAAATTCCTTGAAGGTTTACATAGATCACCAGACATTTGCAAAGGGCAATAGAGCACAACAGCTGAAATAGGATAACAACAAAGATGGGAACATTAGTCTGAATGCAAATAACTTAAATAAAAAATATTAGCTATTTTAAGCTTTATTTTAAGTTCCCTAAAAATTTTCCTAATTTAAAAAATTTTTCCCTTAAAAACAAAATGTAAAAACATTTGGTGGACAGAAAAAAATTCATTTCTACCTTAAAACAAAATGTAAAAACATATGGTGGAGTAATGGATAGTGGCTCAGATTGCGGAGGAGGCATGGTGGAGTAATGGATAGTGGCTCAGATTGCGGAGGAGGCATGGTGGAGTAATGGATAGTGGCTCAGATTGCGGAGGAGGCATGGTGGAGTAATGGATAGCGGCTCATTATTGGCATGGTGGAGTAATGGATATGGCTCAGATTAATGGATATGGTGGCTCAGATAGTGGCTCAGATTGCGGAGGAGGCATGGTGGGGTAATGGATAGTGGCTCAGATTGCGGAGGAGGTATGGTGGAGTAATGGATAGTGGCTCAGATTGCGGAGGAGGCATGGTGGAGTAATGGATAGTGGCTCAGATTGCGGAATCAGAGAACCAAGTTTGAATTCCAGTCAAATCCATTACATTCACTTACATGCTAATACTCTTGGGAAAGCTATGAATCCTCTTTTTCTCCCCCCCAGCTATGGGTAAATAGCAGGACAGACTGGGTTCTATAGCCTTGGATGGCAACAGGTCTATTGCAGAAAAAAATGGCAACCTACTGTGGGAAAAAATCTGCCTCATCAGTCATGTATCAAAAGATACATGATGACCTAAGCGTGTATCATGCATGGCACATAACTGACTTAACAATTCTATTTTTTTCAACTACTGAATTTTTTCCATAAAAATATCATAAGTAGGCAAATATTCTATCACAGACATATTTATCATGGAAGCCACTCTGTCATAGACAATGATTAATAATTTTGTTTTCAATTAGAAAATAATTAAAAAGAACACCCTTACCTCATGTGCTTCAATAAACCATAAGCTTCAATTAAACCATGAACTAGTTTAGCCTGAAAAGAATTAAAAATAATTAAATACTGTTAAAACAATATTAAATTAAGGAGGAATTGATTCAAATGAATGGCAGAAAAAGAAAGGTCAAGAAATTTATTCACATTATTTACATTGATGCCAAGAATCATGGAACAAGTGCCTAATATTGTGTAGGAAACCTTTTAGCACATCAAAGTGCATCAACTCAATGTGGCAGTGATTCCACAAGTGGTCAAAAAACTTCTGGAGAGATGCCATTTTGATAGCTCCACTACATACCATAAATGCATGATCAGGCATATGTCATGCAAACATGGTGGCTACACAAGTCTCCAGAATGTTCCCTATACCAATTCTGGACAACTTGGGCTCAATAACACAGTGAATAACCATTAGCACCATTGTTGGGGTTCATAGAGTCTTTGAATTGGTGCACATAGTCATTAAGCAGTGCAATGTAGCAATCACCAGTTTATGACATGTTTAGATATACTAAGAGACCCAATCTATGCCATGGGAACACACCTATCACCATTATGGAGCCACCACCAATGGTGGTCTGTTGATAACTTGGGCTCATGTACTCATGGGGTCAACACCACATACAAATTCCTAAGATCAGACTGAAACAATTGACTCATCAGACCAAACCACACAATCCAGTCTTCCAGGATCCAATATGTCCAGTGTTATGGTGTTAACAGGTACACCCTGGTGGATCTCCTGTTCCCATATCCAATGGAAGCCAAAGAAAACTAAACTGACCTGCTAGATATGTGTCTGGTACTTCCTGCAGTGAATGTGGATTGTGATTTGAACTGGTATCACGAGTCAATTCTAGACAGACATCTCCTTTTACAATCATTAAGGATCTGTGGTCGGCCACTGTACTATCAAAGGTGCATGATCATGCCTTCTATCAAGCATTCCTAATACAAATATGACAGTGAGGGTCAATGAAGGTCAAATGTTCCTACACTTTCAGTAATGAAATGTTCTATCCATTTGGCATCCACTATCATGTTCCATTCAAACGCCAATAATTCCCATTGCCTTGCTATGAGCATCAAAATTGGTATTCACATTCATTCATCACAGTACAACTGCTATGGATCTGGATATTTCCATGGTGTCATGGTATGGTGGCACCACCTACCATTACATAGTATCTCATGACTTTTGGCATGTCAGTGTGCAATGAAACAAAAGGGAGTGGAATTGTACAATATGATCTGCAACCAGAAATAATTATTTTTGCAATTTTTTTTCCTTATCATGATATATTAAGCATTCCATATCGTGAATATCTAAAAAGAAAACAAAAGTTATTAGATTTTGTAAAAGTTAACAGGTCGTCCATTTTGTTATACAAATTCATAATAAATTGATAACTTTATACATAGAGAAATAATTTTTTTTTCTTGAAATTCATAATCTGGGATGCACAACTGATAGTAATAAATGAAAAAAAAGAACCCAAGATTAAAATTTCAAATTATTTTTTAATTTTTTTACATTTTAAGAAATCATGTCATATGAACATATTTTGTTTTGACTTCCATAGAGGGGATCAATTTGCAATGAATTTACATAGAAAACTGGAGCACTCTACTAACTTTTATAAAATTTAATTTTAAAAAAAATTAAAGAAAAATTTATATTCGTTGTTTAGAGTACTTAATCTATAGTAAAAAAAACAAAAAAAACGATTAATTATTTCTGGTCAATGACAATTGTCCCACTCCACCCAAAAGTAAGAACAAAGACTGTAAATATCAATTTTTAAAGGTAAATACATTTGAGAATTTGGGCTAGTTTTATTTTAATGAAATAAAATTCAAAAAACTGAAAGAACAATTCTTTCAAGAATAGCAGATCCATCATATACTAGGATTCCATGTTTTGTTGATAAAGCTTTCAAAACTAAAAAGGGGTTATCTATTATATAATCTTTTAACACATTAATGACCACAATGAAATATAATATTAATTATAAAAACTAAAATTAAAATTTTGTATTAATAATATGTTTCTAAAAGTCTTTGATATTGATTATAGGCTTCTACCTATAACCCATTTCTGTCCGCCATCACAAAAAAATGGGACAAATGACATTACTGAGTTAATCATCAGAAGATTATAAGTGGACATTGAGTATAAGTGGACACTGAGGTCAACATCCAGTGCCGACAGTCTATTTCATGCTTAAATGCAATCTTCAGGCCATGTGTGTTGTGTTTTGGCTTGACTATTTATATATGCTGGTCAATGGTGCATTATGAGGAGGTCTCTTGTATATTAAAAATAAATAAATAAATGAAATAAAATAATTCAAATCAATAAATAAGCAAATTAAATAAATAATATACAAATTAACAAGCTATAAATGCACACAGAAACACAAAGCTCCTCCTCAGTTCCTTAATCCTTCACCAGGTGTCTCTCTCCCCTGGCTATAAATACTGGGTGACCTTTTGCCTCGATCTCTTTTTTCCTCAGGCCCTGGGCCTTATACCACCTCGCATATGTGAACTCTCACTGATACAGCGTTTCCCAAATTCTGGGAACACACTAAGAACAATACACGTACGTACGAACACTCACCACAATACACACACATAATATTCACCACACGCACTCAATGTAACTGTCCATGTGCTTGTAACTTATACTTGTTGTTAATACATATATTTGTTTGTACATAACTATCGGTCCTGTTTGTTTTCTTTGGACTTAATTAAAGTCCAACATTTTCATGTAGCTGGGCCGGCTAGCAGGAAATTTTAACCCACCCGCCATGGTCCACTACAAACATAATAATAACAATAACAAATAATGACTAAAAGCATTCACAAACAATACCATAAAATAGCCACAAAACTGCATTCATATCCACAGTTATTTCTACTCAGGTCCTAGAATAATTTGAATCGTAACAATTACTACCCACTCATTAACCATTAGAATAATACAATATAAACATTCCATTTCAATTTCAGTGGAAATCATTAGACTAAGAAGGTGCAAGAAGTTACTTTTCTGAAGGTTAGCATAAGCTATGCTAGGCAAAATGGAAGCCAAAAAAGGTTCTTTTATACACTTAAAGGAGAGCAGTTTTGTTTTGGAAGCATTAAAATTCTTGTCAATATATGAAGAAGATTAGTGAATGCGTACCTAAACTAACTGATATACAGAATGGAAATAAAGCCAGAAAAATATTTTCAGGGATATTTTATAGCAGGCATGTAAATTCATGTCAGCCAAAAAATTTAACAGATGTACATTATCAGTCTTATTTAGCAAAGCATATATTTAAAGAGATTGCTACTCAAATGCACAACTATGTATTTAAAATAGTTATTTATTTATTCTTTTATTTTAGTTTTATTTTTTTATTTATTCTTTTTAATTTTTAAATGTACATCTGATTGTAATAGCACAGGGTTTGATTGCAAAATTGAATTTTAAATAAATTCAGCACAATTTAAGTAGACTGGTCCACTTATACAAAAAAAATAGGAAAAAACTTTTGAGGAATAATTTTTGTAGCTTATCATTCTTTAGATCCTTCTTAACCTTTATCACTCTATATGTGACTTTATTTATCCTGCCCCTGAAGGTGACTCTGTCCTTGAACAATAGCATGTTAGAATTTTATAGTTGTGTTGGCATATCCTGCTATGGCAACAGAAAACAACTTTGAGTGAAATAAACAATAAGATTACTGCAATTGAGAGGCCTTGAAAAAGAATGCAGTAGAAATTAATAACGCAGAGTGCTGAAGGTTAAGCTGTGACATTTGTGAGAATAAAAAAAAAAAATATTGAAATCAGAAATTAGTTGTTTGTCTACAAAGGATAAAAAAAAACAAGAAGTTTAAAACTGTACTCATGCCATTGATATCTGTGTATGAAAACAGTCTATATTTTATTTTACAAAAAGATTTCTCTTAAATAAAGTATAAACAGTTTTTGTGTTTTGTTTTAAAAAAAATATATTAAACAAGCAATTTAGCAAAATATTTTTTCTTTTTACAAAAAAGTAAAAGATTTTTTTGTCATTAAAAAACAAACAGAAGCATACATTTTTACATAAGTACCACATTTTAAATAAAAGAACAAAATTTTATCTAAATTAACAAAAGTATGAAAGAAAAAAAATATGCAGATATCAATGACATTTTGAAGGCAAATTTAAAAGATTTTTTTCCACTGGTATGAAATGGGAGAAGATAGAATGTCACATCTTTTATCCTGAATCTATATATAAAATTCTGTGACTTCAGTCCATCACACTCTCTAAAATATTAATACATTAACCAATCAAAACCAAATTTGGAGGAGAAACGCAAATAGGTAAAGGGCTACAAAGTATAAATGATTTTACTAGGGTATGTAAAAACCATGAAGTAGGGTTTTTGTCAAAGTATTTTTCTAAACAAATCAGATTATTCAAATTTCATCAATTTGTTTGTGAAATGGAACAAAATGTAGAGTTTGTGAATCTCAACAAAAAATGTTAGCGATAACTTCAACAATACTAAATACTGTGAGGATTTCAACATGCACCAACATTTTTCAAAAAAAAATTCTAGTATTTAAAAAGGTGTATACAATATCAAACAAGACTAACCTATTACATGAAATTTCAAAGGAACAAACATTACATAGACATGAAACAAAATAACAAAATACATTTTTTACAAAAAGCTTACATAAAAATTTCCATTTGTGTGCCTTTTTAGTAAAGGCAGATATAGGAATTATGGGCTCTTAAGAAGATATACAACAGAATATTATAGGCTCTTAGATTTATGATATAATCTTAAAATAATGAAAAAACATCTTTGAGAAGGTAATATAAAAACTTTAAATAAGGTTGAAAATACTCCTTATGAAAAAAAAAAAAAAAAGGTTTTGGTTTGGTTTAGTTTACAGCATATCAACCCCAATAGGTTATTTAAAGCCAACAAGATTTTTATTGCTGGTAATATTTTTTAAAAAAATGTATTGCTGATAATAATTATTTTTTCCAAAAATTCATTGCTAGTAATAAGCTTTTACAAAAATGTATTGCTGGTATTAAAAGCTATTTGTATACTTTCATAGTGTTTTGACCCCAGTTTGGGGGTTAACTATTTGCCCATATTTGGGACCCTAACAGGTGCTACCACCCCAGATCAGGGTGAACATGGGAACACCAGCAGTTAAGAGTTTGTTTCACTCTCCTCAAAACTTCCTGATCAGAGGCCTTGCTGTTGAATGTAGTTTATCGTGTTACCTGGAATGTGGATGTTGTTTATTGTCTTACTCAGGATGGAAAAAAAAAAAAGGTTCATCCCCCAAAAGGTGAAAAAACCAGAAGGACTCTTTGGTAAATGTCATGTGTCACTGGGATTTTTAACAATATTTTCCTTCTTTAGAACAAAGTTCTATTCAAAGGTTTCACCTGATTCACTTCTTTTTCCTATAGCTTCTTCAGGTCATCCACAGGTGACAACCAAAAATAGCCTTTCCTTCTGGAACCTTATTTTTCTGACTTCAGAATGAAATTTTTCTCTCTCTTCATCTGCTGACCTATTTAACAGGTTTCAATTCTTCTTCATAAACAGTAACAATGGTGGAAGGCCATTATCATCCCAGGACACCACATGATCTAGTTCTTTTCTCAGCAGTAGACTTTACATATGAAAATAGTCATCAGCAGCAGCAGTTTACATCATTTAGATCTCACATTTCTTTACCTTCTGACCCTTCTTTTTATATATCCAAAGAGGCTCCAGAAGGATCTTAACTTTAAAGTTTAAATTGATGTGGGCAGAAGCCACCCTTTTGATTGAACAATAAATACAAACAGCATTTATTTTTCAAATTTTAAAAATGAATCACCAACAGTTTGCCATTACCATTCTGGCACTTTTTTAGAGCGAATTCTAAACATAAAAACTTTTTCAGACAAATATAGCACAGCAAATACAATTCTTTATTTCTTTATAAACCATCTGACTTTTTTTCTTTTTTTTAAAAATATACTTCTCCCAAAAGTAAGTGTAAAAGACAAACATATTTTTTTTAATCATTTCACCCCCAGTAAAGCAATATGCAAGGGTTACTGAGTGTTAGAGAATATGAAGAAATAAAAATAAAAAATAAAAAAGCAGGGAACAATAAAAGAACAGAATTAAGAAGATAAAAGATAATAATTGACATTGCATTTAAATTTTTGAAGATCAAAGTTGACTCAGAAGCAAGTGTAATCGCCGGCTGTCGAACCTGTTCAATAATACTAGCAACCAGATATGCAATAACCCTGTCGTCGGTCAGCGGTAGTGACTTGTTTTGTTGCTGGTATCGTGCTGGTAGACTCAATTACAGATAAATGCCCCAGTGACAAATGGTCCAGGCCAGTAAATTTTCGCTCAGTAATCGAAGGTAACCGGGACCCAACTAAAATTGTCAATATCTCCAAAACGGTAGATTTCCAACAATTTTTAAATCCTTTTTTATTTTTTTGGTGGGGGGAATAATCAAGCGATTTTACACCAGAAATGATATACTTTTTTTTTTTTTAATTTGTCACTGGGGCATTATCCGCAAATTTACCAGAAAATGTTTGTTTCATTCAAATTTCATCACAGTTTTGTTTTGTCGAGTCTTGTTTGTTTTCGTATATGCGTCTGAGTATTATTCTCAGAATAAAAGATTTGGACGCCCTCTCTCCTAAAAAAAATCCTTTTAAAAGGTGTTATCTTTCAATATTACCTTGGTCACACCCACTATTTATTTTTTCGCTAAAAAGTCATTGGTTTTTTGTTGTTTTTATATTTCCGTGTTTAAGCTGAGGTCTGAAAAGTCAAAACAAAAGCATATTGTTGATACTACACTACAGTCGTAGGAAATTTTTACTTTGTTAATTGAATTCTAACAACCTTATTTTAATTGTCACGTCAAAAAAAACTCACATCTATTCATGGATTCAGTCTTTACTTCTGGGATGCTTTTTAAATTTTCTGTTTTTAAAAATTTAACTCAGTTAAAAAAAAGGTGTTATTTTTTATTTTAATTTTTTATTGAAGTTTTGTTTCTAACTTGGGAATCATAAGTGATAAAAAATCTACTACGTACCTCATTAAAAGTTTAAAACTAAAAGCAGCGGTAGGGTGTTTGTCACAGTTTGTGTTTCTTTAAATTCATAAAAAAATACGATTTCCAACATAACAGTTAATTCCAATATAATAGCAAAACAACTGACTATATTAAAAAATATGAATCGAATTTAAAAACAGAGCAACTAGTAAACTTCGTAAAAATATTTCCAACATAAAAAAGTATAGTTACATTTAAAATAAATCAGTTTGAAAATGTCTTAAACTTTTACAAGCTGACTAAAAAAGAAGAGAATTTTTAAGCTAAAATTTGCAACATCCTCCAAAGAAAACCAAAATCAGTATTGAATTTGAAAAAATAATAGTAATACTTATTCATTTATAATAATAAATAAATAAATCAACCAATCAATTCTTTTTTCATTTTAATTTATAGTTTAAAAACTTGATGTAGTTTTAAGAAAAAATGTCGATTATTAACATAAACTAACATTATTTACATTTATTGCAATCTATTTCCTTTTCCTCGCGCCATAATCAATTTCAAAATGAAATGTAAACAAAAAATGCAGACAATCATCAGATCGTTTTGAGTTGATTTTTTTTTATATAAAAATCATCCTATGATGTCAAAATTAACCTTCATTTTGCTTATTACTAAAAACTGCTTCAAAATTATTAGTAAATAAAATTCAATTAAATCTTCAATTCAAAAAAATACCGACGAACCCGATGACGAACTTTGTCAGCAAGATCAGACCATTTCAACAAGTCTTGGTTGAAGATGTAAGCTACTTTAGACCGTTTCTGAGAAGATTCGTTATCATAATTCATTTTACTACTCGGTTCTGCTATTTTCTCAGTGGATATATCGGGGTCAGATATTTTAAGATCTGGACTAGAATTGGTTGAATTCTCAGACGACGATGAAGAAGGAAAATCGAATATCGTGGACGCCATATTTGAATTTACCGCAACTTTCCCAAGAACGGTAACTCTGACATTTTTTCCAAAATAAACAACATTTCGCTGCTAATTTTCTAAATCCTCCCCACTTAGAAGATTGGCGTAAAACAATCTTCCCTACTCATACAAATTTGATTCTTTACACTAAACAAAACTTAGTTAATATCCAGAAAATTAGCCGAAATTTAGAGAGGGAGGAGTGTGTTCAATAGAATTTGGAAAAATCCGGTAATTTTGAAAAGTAAAACTAAGGTAGGAAAATTCGTGAAATAAAATTCGATTGGAAACTCATTTTAGGGCCGTCTGGAGTGTGGATTTGGGAGCTAAGCTCCCTCCCTTACATTTTTAAATAGCTTAAAAAAAATATGGGGTTCAGAAAACCCCACTACAACAATACCAGGGCCGTATTTGCAGAAGGGAGGCTTAGGGGGCTAGGACTCCTTCCCCAATATTTAAAAAAATTATTAACTATGATGAGTCTATGAGGGTCTAAAACCCCACTACAATACCAGGGCCATACTTGCATGATTGGGCTTGCCTCCCCTCCATGCCTAAGTATTAACTTCAAAAAAATAATCATGGGTTCTAGTCCAGATAAAATACCACTGCCGTACTTTCTGGATGGGTGTGTTTTAGCCCTCACTCCAATATTTTTTTAAATATTTTTTAAATTATAAGTATTTATTTAATTACTACTCTATTGTTTTCAAGAAAATAAAATCGATTTTTAAGTTAAAGTTAAAAGTTCCTGTATCTTTTCAAATCTTAATAAAAAAATTAAGTTTTAGTTATTTTTTTAAAAAAAAGCAAAAAACTAGCCTTTCTCTTTCAAAAATATCGGAGACAGGGCTTAGCCCCCAAATCCTCAATCTAACGGCCCGAAAATCAATTTTCAATCGACTTTTTTTTATCTCATAGTTACCGAATTTTCCGGGTACTGTTCAGAATACTGGCAATTAAAATCGATACATGACTTTAAAAGAGTTGTCGAAAATATCTGCAGCACTCTGTATACTGTTTAAATATTTTTTTCTAGATTCTTTATGTGTTTTTTAATCTCATGACGTGATTTCCGAAGCACATATATTTTATTCTTTTTTAATTAAACAAGTCATTCCTTTAAAATTTTTATATATCCGTTTGCTTACAAGGAAATTTTAAAAAAAGTATTTCAATTGAATTAATTAAGCTGACAAACAATTGCTTATATAAATTTTAAATATGTATTGTTACTGTCCATTTGTTCTTTGAAAAAAAGTAAATTAATATTTCTTTTTTTTTTTTGTATAGAAGATAAAATTGAGGAAATAATTATGACATTCTGTTTAGATGAACACCTTTAGACTGTTTGCAATGTAGGGATTACTGCTACCTTGTCTGCCAGGTATTGAACAGAACTTTAAAGAAAGAAACTAAGCTTTTCTCCTGCCCCACCAAGAGTGACAAATTTAATTCAACCATATGTGTACACACACACACATACCATCATCAACTATGGCTAAGTACATAAAGGTTTTCTCTCCTTTTTCAGAGTTATCTATTAATAACTGTACCGGACCGTGGCGGTGATGAGTATATAGAAGAACACACGTGAGTTAAATTTTCCTGCTAGCCGGTCCAACTACATGAGAAAGTTGGACTTTAATTAAGTCCAAAGAAAACAAACAAGACCGATAAATATATGTAAACAAATATATGTATTAATAACAAGTTACAGGTTACAAGCACATGGACAGTTACATTGAGTGCGTGTGGTGAATATTATGTGTGTGTGTTGTGGTGAGTGTTCGTACATATGTGTATTGTTCTTAGCGTGTTCCTAGAATTTGGGAAACACTGTATCTGTGAGAGCTCATATCTGTGAGGTGGTATAAGGCCAAAGACCTGATGAAAAAAGACATCGAGGCGAAGGGTCAGCCAGTATTTATAGCCAGGGGAGAGAGACCCCTGGTTAAGGGTTAAGGAGCTGAGGAGGAGCTAACTCCGACACTCCTAAATATAACCCTTCGTTCATTCAACACAAAAGTGAGTTATGTCTTTAAGTTTCTGCTTGTAACTCACTGAAGTTTCTTGTGTGGAGAAAACATGGTTTGGGGGTTAAGGACTATGTTTTTCTTCTTGAAATGCTTTCTCTTTTTGTCATTTTTAAATCATAATCCTTTTTCCATTTCCAAAAGTAATCCTTTTTATGCAATATATCTGTAAATATTACCATGCCTTAGTTATTTATAAGGTGCACAAAGGAATTTTTGTGAGTCTTATATAGAAACTTTTGTATTTTCCTTTAATAAATATTTTTCCTTTAAAATTTTACACAGTGGTTTGAGTCTTGATTGCATCTTATAATACAACTTTCTATTCCTACTAACTAGGTTTTTATGTTTGACATAAAAATTTAAATAATTTAGTAGGCAGTTGGAATTCTTATTTATTCTTCTTTGTTAATTTTTTTTTCTTATGATGTCGCTTTCAAAGCTTTTTTGTTAGTCATTACTTTGTCTATTAGAGGACTTCTAATGCCTGCTAGATGACATTGCCAAAAAGTATTAAAATTTTTTTTTTTTCCACTGTGAGTAAATTTCAGCTCTCAGTAGTTTGAGGGAAAGGATGAAGATAATAAAATCTTTTTTAGAAACCTGAAACTTGCCAGTCTGCATGCAAAGCTCCTTGACCAAGGAGTGGAGTGGGCGGGGAGTTAATTGAAGGTGAAGGAAAGAGAAAGAAAAACAGAAGTGTTTTTTTCTACTACAATAAATTGTTTTGATAAATGTGATTTTTTTTTTACCAATGGCTACTTGAACCAGTTGAAATCTGAAATCCTTGTGTTGACTGCCAAAATTTTTCAGGAAAATCAGAACCAAACTTTGGCTATAAAAATTCCTGTAATACAACTGTCAACAGCAGTAGGAAATGTAACCTTGCAGGATTAGTAGACATGACCACCAGGAGTGGTAGACATGATAACATGGGTAGAATACACAACAGAAGAGTGGGAGATGCAATGCCTTCTAAAAACATCTGAAAACCTGACCAAGTGGCTGTGAAAACTCACTCCTCAATGAAGACTTCACAGTTAAATTGTTATTTTCTCAATAGAATTAAATCTTTTACCCCAACTCCTGTAACAATTAGTCATTTCCATGACAGAGAACAAGTATTACTCTCAAAACACTCCACATTGAAGACTCTGAAGGCACAAAAAGATTCTGTCACAGACATTGACAACTCACATCAAATCACAAGAACTATTAAGAATATTGACATTTTATATCTTCAAGGTAAATATACCCTTTAACTGGGTTCAACCTCACTGAAACTCTCTTCCTTTTAATTTGCATTGTTTTGTATACACTGGCATTTTTCTTGTGATATCTCATGTTATTTGATTTATATTGGTTTGTGGGTTATCCCCCTTGCATTTCCTAAGAAAAAAAAATGTCACTAGGGGTTACTCCTGAAGCCTGTAAATAGACAATGATATTCTCACTTACTTTCTTTCCTATTTTACAACTCTGGCTATAAGATGTAGTGACACATTGGAAAAAAGTGTCCCCCACTGGGGCAGGTACATAGTCTTTTCTCTCATGACTTTTTGTATTGTTTCATACATATGTCTATCACGTAGGCCTTCACAAATTTCACACACACAAACACACATTCTCTGATTTAAATGGTTTATAAAACTAGTCTTTAAATGTTTTCTCCTTTTATTGTAATTATAATACTTTTGTTAATACATGTATTGTTGTTTGGTTTATATTTTATTTGCACTACTCATTAATTACTTGGACTTACATTCAAGTCCACAAATATTGTCATGGGAATAATAATACCAGGAGACACATATTTTCAACATAAGCACAACAAACATCCCCACAACAGATTGTAAATTTGACCTTTATCTCACAACTATCATTGAGCTTATTTTAGAAGTTACTTGTCTAGCAAACTATTACCCCCTTTTCTGGGCACATAAACCACCAAATTTGTGCACCTCTAAAATTTTCTTTTCTTTTAATAAAATTGTTTTGGTTTTATATCTCATTGAGTATCTCTTGTCATTTTTTATAGTGTACCTTGTTGTCACTTGATCTCCATTCTCCCCAATCTCTTAACTGAATCCACAGAAATATACAATGATAATTTTCTTTTCTCTATTTTTTTTCATAAATGCACTATAAAAGAAAGGGAACAAACTCACTCTGTCTATTTTCTATATATATTTCTTCAACAATTACTAGAAATGCAACAAACTGTCAAACTGCTACAATGCAAGATCATCATTGAACACTGTCATTGCTTATAGCTGAATGTGCACTCACATGATTTAACTCACTCCGGAGTTACCAGTTCTAGGTAGCTCAGTTTAAGGATCCAAAGATTGAGTTATGCTCATTTGATTATGATGTCATGCCACCTTTGTGGGGGTTCACTAACATCATAGCAGCAGAAATTAGCCTTGTGTTCACGGCGATAGAAGCATACGTGACAGGAAATAAAATGCACACAAATAACAAGAAAAGCATGGTAAATTGTATGTTAATTTCATACAATTTATTTATATTTTTTGTGTGCACACTTTTTAGGGTACAATTGTTTTATGGTACATGTGATAAAAGGGAGAATTTACTCCATAGTATTACTAGCCATATGACAGAGAGAAGTTACACACATGTTGCCCTTACCAAGGTTCATGGCGAACAAATTAAATTTATGTCTTGTTACATGCTGGGAGAGTTTTATTATTTTAAATTTTTATTTAATTTATTTTAGATTATTGTTTTATTTTATTTTATTTATAATTTTCATTATTATTATTATTATTTTATATTTGTTGTAACCTAAGGAAGGTTACTGAATAGAATAATCACATGAAGGTTGGTTATGAATACTTAGGACAAGAACAACACATATAAGATTTGCCAGCGGCACATAGAAGTAGTCAATTGCTAGAAGTGAGTCAAGTGAATTCCACAACGAATCTCCAACTGCAGACCACAGGTCAACACATACAGTATTCACTACTGTATATATGAGAATGGGGGCATATCCATTATTGTCCATAGGTATGCTAAAACAATATTTTATTTTTATTTATTTATAATAATAATGTCCTTACACCTTCTTCACCTTCTTTGATAATCTTTTTTTAGTTTCATTTGATGCAACCAGATAACTTTTCCCCACAAAATCAAAGCTGAGATCTAAAAACATATATTCTTTCTGTACTGATTTATGGCTTGGATTGTATAAACTGGACTGTTGCAGGTAGTATCCAGGTCCGCAGATATTGCATGACAGAAGAAAACAAAAAGCAAAAACAAAGACTTCAGTAAAAAAATGTATATTGCCAAGTTTATTTTTGTTAAAGAAAATACATCAACAAAAACAAGGTTACAGTACACTAAGCAAAAAGTATCTCTGCATGTAGAGAGAGTGAGAAAAGCTGTGTCCTGAAAAGGACAGTTTTGTAGTCACTGAAGAGTGTTTGAAAAGGACAGTTTAATGCATATTGTTGCTGCTGGTGAGGATGGCTGAAATGGCAACTGATGACAAGCTAGAGTTGATAATGGTTGGCTGTCTAGCTGGAAGTGCTGCTGATAACCAGAGCCATGGCTGGCTGCTGGAACGGATACTAAACTTTGATCCTAGTCATCTGCAGAATATAGTTATTTACCCTGGTTTCCTCACTGAGATGGTATGTGACACTAGGTTGGAGAACCTGAGCATGTACACCTAGGCCACAGAATATGCTTTTTTTTTTTCATTGTTTTGAAGCCTTTTCATATACTAAATCAGTCTTACAACAATGCTGGTTAAGCTTTTATTCCAGTTGTTTTTTTAAAAAAATAATCTATAAAAGATTTTTCGTCAAACATTTTTCCCCTGTTTTTAATGAGCAGACTAATTATACTCTATATAATATACTGTACATATATACTAGGAGTCACAGTGGAGTAATGGATAGCGGCTTGGACTGAGGAATCGGAGAGCTGAGTTTGAATTCCAGTTGAATCCATTACATTCACTCGTGTGCTAATAACCTTGGGAAAGGTAGGAATCTTCTTCTTCTCCCCCCAGCTATGGGTAAATAGCAGGACAGACTGGGTTCTATAGCCTTGGATGGCAACTGGTCTACCGCAGAAAGAAATGGCAACCTACAGTGGGAAAAAATCTGCCTCATCAGTCATGTATCAAAAGGTACATGATCGCCTACGCATGTATCACGACAAAGATAACTGACTGATATATACACTGTATATATATATATATATATATATATATATATATATATATATATACTGTATACATATATACTTACTTGGGTATAAGCTGACTTCATGTATAGTATAACCCCTGAATATTTTTGTATGAATTTTAAACCTTCTAGGAAAAGATTTATCTGTGTATAATGCAATTGGACACCAAAAATCTATGATTTTTAATCTCTTCAAAAAAATGACTTGTGTATAGTGTCTTCCTACTTTTTGCATGAAAAATGATCATAAGATTTTGCACTATTCTCAACAAGTATGTAATTTAAGGAGTGTCAATAAAAGTGTGAATATGATAATTATTGCAACAATTATTTGCAAAACATTATGCTAAGCCAGTTTTTCTTTAAGAAGGTATAGAATTTCCTTTGTAAATATCTAAACTATAATCCTTTTAACTCTCCTCTCTAAGTTTTTGTTCACCAGGTATTGAACTCACAACTGTTTGGATCAAGTCACTGGATACAACCAACGCTTTTATCCACTGGGCTATGCGTTCTTTAATAATATTATCAGATAGATTGATTTGTTTTTTAGGCTTCTTAATTCTTCGTGGGTTACTGAAAGCCTAAACCTATTTCAGATAGTAGGAAATTGTTTACAGTAACTGGTAGTCTCCCATCTAAGTACTGACCGGGTTTGACACTGCTTAACGTTGTTTTCATCATGATGTGACCCTAGGCTTATTATTATCAGGTTTCCACAAGTGAGTCTAGAAATATATATTTTTACAAATTTTATTGTTGTACTCTGCTCTTTCACAGTTTTTTTTCTTTTACCTCCTGTATTCACAGTCATTTTGGAATTTCCACTGGCACCCGGCATCACCAGTGTAAGGCAGAGAACTCTAACAAAGCAAGAACCATGACAAAACTATACAAAGTAATTTTTAAATGCAATTTTCCGATTAAAAATCTGTCTCTATTTTGTCTGTTTTAAATTAATGTTGACTTTATTAGTAACCTTTCTTTTAATTATTTGGATTCAAATTTTATTCATTTACGGTATTACCTTTACGTTGTTGCCGCGGAAAAATTAAGCATCAAGGGCAGACAACTTTTACTCATTTTCTAATAAATAAATAAAAAGTTACTACACTCTACCAACCTACACTATTTTAAAAATTACATAAAAATATCTCTTTAGAAATATAGAATTTTAAAATTATTGATCTTGAACAAATAATGTTTAATTATTGTAATTAATTTTCACTTAAGTTAAAAGTGAAATACTTTAATTTTCATTTGCAATCAACCCAGTGTAAGTTTGAGTAGGCTGTTATCCACGCTTGGCAGGACCTCCTCATTGTACCTAAAAAAGATAGGGCCATGGTCAATCCCACTTGCTTTCCAGAAGGGAACTAGACAATTTCTGCAACTGCTCACATGTCTCCGCGTGGGATCCACACGTTAACTGCGACTTTGTTTCCCTTCCTATATTCATGGAGAGTTAGCTAGCACTATAATTTCGTTTCGTTTCATACTCATTTTTACTTTTAAATGTTGCACTTTTGTCGGCGCGGCTGATATCAAATGAGTCACATGGGAAACGGGAAAAACATTGTAGAACATTTCTAATTCATTTAAGTTTAATTTATATTTATTTTCTGTTATTCAGAAAGTATATTACGTTGGTAAGAAATGCCTTGGTGTTTAAAGAATTTGTAATTTTTATATTTTACTTATAATTTCGTTACCGGAAGTTGCGGTAAGTTCCGGCTCCGTTTTGTATTTTTGAATAAATTCTACGCGCTACATCCTTTTCCCTTCCTCTACTCGCTACCAACATGGCGAACTTTGATTTAACGACCCGAATGGGCCAGTATTTAGACCGGCATTTGGTCTTCCCATTGTTAGAATTTTTATCAGTCAAAGAAGTTTATGATGAAAAAGAAATGTTACGTGGAAAATTAGACTTGCTGAGCAACACAAACATGGTAGATTTTGCCATGGACGTACACAAGAGCTTATACCCGACCCAAGAGGTACCTTACTCACTTCACCAGAAAAGAACGGATGTCGTAAGCCAGTTGAAGAGACTTCAAGAACAGACGGAGAAGATAACGAATTTGATGGATCAAGAAGAGGTTATAAAGCAGATCGAAAATGCTCGAGACGGTAGACAGCTTTTTGAATATCTACATAGTCATCATGGAGTTAGTGAAGACATGGTACAAACCTTATACAATTACGCGAAATTTCAGTACGAGTGTGGAAATTACTCCGGTACAGCACAATACCTTTATTTTGTCCGCACTCTCCTGCCATCAAACGACAAGCTCTACATGAGCACCCTCTGGGGTAAACTGGCTTCGGAAATTTTAATGCAAAACTGGGATGCAGCACTTGACGATTTGAACCGACTTCGTGAGTTTATCGATAGCAATGCCGCCTTCAACTCTTCCTTGCAGTCTCTTCAGCAAAGGGCTTGGTTCGTTCACTGGTCTTTGTTTGTTTATTTCAATCACCCGAAGGGTCGGGACCTCATCATCGATTTATTTCTCTATCAGACCAACTATCTGAATGCCATCCAGACAGTGTGTCCCCATATTTTGAGATACTTGACTACAGCTGTCATCACTAACAAAAGCCGCCGCCGACAGGTAAGTAAAATAGAAAAATTAAGACTTTTTTTTTTGTTTATTTTGTTTCTAAAATTATATCATCTCCTTATCGTAAATGTTACTTCCTTCCTTTTTTGTATATTTTTTTAAAATTTTATCCTGATCAACTTTTAAAGAAAAACCCCAAAAAACATATGTCTTACTCTTGCTTGTTCACTTCTTTTTCCTGGGATTATTTTTACTGCGATTAAGTTAATTGAAATCCGAAATACCTTTCAATTAACGTTTTCAGTTATCCGAAATACCTTTCAATTAACGTTTTCTCTACATTTTTTTTTTTAATTGATACATTTTTGTTTGATAATTTAAAAAAAATCAACTTCCTTTTAAAAGCTCTAACATGTGACAAAAAAATCCTATCGCTACTACAATGTTGAGGTTGAAAGCGTGAGTTATCAAGGGAGATAATTAGGCATCAACAAAGTTTGTCGATTTTAATTTTTTTTTCTTTATTTTTACTACATCTGATTTTTATATAACGAATTTGATTTATTTAACTACAGTTATCAATATTTGAAACATTTTACTCAAACAATACGAAAAATGGTTATTACAAACTATAAGTATATCCTGCATGTTTTCTGTTTAGGTGTAGTGGCGTATCATAGTTTTCTTAGTCTATTTGTTTTGAAAAATGTAATACACAAGTAGTGTGTGGTTATTATTCTTCATCGAAGCCTAGATTAATAAAATGAATGATACTTTTTTGAGTATCCGATTTTAAAAGCAACTTCATGAATTCGCTAAAAAAAGAGCATAGCACGATAAAAAACTGCCTTACACTTGATGAAAACGAAATTTTATCCTCTAAATAAATCTTTCTGAGGAAAGACCGAAGTATTTTTTATTTTTTTTATTTTAACTTTTGATTAAAAAAATCTTTTTTGCGTTAGTGTCATTACTAAATAAATAACATTGCAAATTTTAGCGACTTTTCTTTGCAGCAGTGACACTTTAATTTTGAAAATCTTATAATTCAATTTTACTTGTTAAATCAGTTTGCGGTTATTCGTTACAAATAATGAAATACAATTTTATTTTTCCTCAGCAAAAATTAAATAGAACGGTGTAACCAAAAAAGCAAATCAGACAGGATAATGCTAAAGAGTACATGTTCAGATTTAACTTTTTTAAAGCGGTAAATGTAAAATAATGAATTTCTGTATTCGGCTACAGAAACTTTTTTTTTTTTTTAGCTGTTATTGTCATTGAAAGCAAAAAAAAGCGATATGTGGCGAAAATCACTGTACACTTGTATAAAACAAAAGTTTCTTGTTTTTTTTTTTTTATTAATCTTTGTGCATAAAGAAAACCAGAAATGTATTTGAAAAGTTATTTACATTGACTAACGATATTACATGAATTGTTTGAGAACATTTTTGTGCGAAAAACAGGTTTAAAACTAAAAGGAATTTAGCAAATTGATTTCAAAAGAATTTTCGAATGGATTAAAAGTAAAACTTCTGAAACTTTTTTTTAAGCATTTCACCCCAAGCAAGGCAGGATGCCACTAGTATGCAAGGGGTTACAGAGTGGGAGCGAGAGTAAAGAGGCGTGATGGAGGAATGGATGAAGAGGAGGACAGGGAATAGGTCAGGGCATCTGGAGATGTTGATTGACATTGTATTTGGATAGTTGGAGATTATAGCTATCAGGGAAACAAGTAATAGGAAGGGAATTCTACAGACGGGAGGTACGAGGCATGAAGCTATTGTAGTAGAAGAGACGGCCATATTTAACCATTTTGACAGTGAAAGACCGTGATGCCGGCCTAGTAGCATGTTTAAATTCACATAGTCTGAGAACTAGCGAAAGTAGCTTGTCAGAGCAGTTACCATGAAAATATTTGTAGAAAAGACAGGGAAGCGACGGTATGTCTGTGAGAGAGCGACTGTAGATGAAATGCTAGATCAGGACCAACCACATTACATATCCGTCTCTGGATATTGTTGAAGACCTTAAGGCAAACAATGGGGGCAGCAGTATTCCATGCAAGGGTGAATGGTTGATTTATAGATTTGAAGGATGGACTCTTTTTGGTGCGACACAGGGAACCAACTTTCCTTGTGGTGGATGAAGCAATTGATTCAATGTAATTGTTCCATCTCGGGTCAGCGGACAATGTGACAGTCGCAAAGAGGTACTTGTGGAGTTGAGCATCAGACATTCTAATGGGTGGCAGGGATGGTTCCCTGTGGTGAGTAATAGAGAGCAGTTTTGTTTTAAAGGCATTAAAGTTAACCAGCCCCAGTCAACAACCGATTGAAAGTCCTTTTCAAGTTATCAGTCAGGTTAGTTTTGTCAGCAATACCAGACTTCCAATTGAGGCAGGAGTAAATATTTGTGTCATCAGCATAGATGCCTACTTGGGAACTGATGATATCGGGGAGATCATTAATGAAGATAAAGAATAGAGTAGGGCCCAGGATAGGGCCTTGGGGAATGCCTGCATTCGTGGGAAAGAAACTGGAGGAGAATCTGTTAAGGATGACCTTCATTACATGGTTTGACAGGAATTAAGTCAAATAATTGATCTGAAGTTCTGTATCCTTTAATCTTACAAAGGAGGCCGGTGTACCAGACCCTACCAAACACTTTAGAGATGTCGAGAGCCACAACACAAGCTTCTCTGTTATTGTGGATTGCTTGGTAAACAATTTCAGTTATGGCCATGAGCACATCAGCTGTAGAATAGGCAAAGTGGAAACCATATTGCTTATTAGAGAGTAATCATGGGATATAAGGTGATAACCACTTCAGTGTTGATTAAAGCTTCAAAGACTTTGCCGAAAAAGTGGTAGGAGACTGTAAAGACAGTAGTTAGATCGGTCAGAATGGTCTCCAGAGTTCTTAAAGACAGGAACAATAGCTGAGGACTTCCAACAGGCTGGAAATTAAGATTCATTTAGGCAGTAGTTATGTAATTTGGAGAGGGCAGGGGCACATTTCTTCAGGACAATGGCTGGTATCCCGTCCCCACTGCTAGCATTATGGGAGTCTAATTTTGAGGTGATGCCCAATACCAATGATGGGGTTATGTACAACTCGCTCAATAGAGCTTCGGTTCTAGAGGAGAAATCTGGTGTGGGAATACTGGATGAGTCAAGCATTGAGTTGGAAGAGAATTTCCGAGCAAAGCACTCGGCCTTATCAGCTAAGGAGGTCAGGACCTGAAATTGATTGAACAAAGGAGGTATTGAAGATTTACTGTTGTTGCATATGCTCTTGCAGAGATTACAGTAATCCTCGGAAGCAAATTTGCAAGATGCAATACGTTGTTTCATTCTATCAGCAAATAGTGACTTTGCTTCATTGAGGACATGCTTGTACTCCTTACAGGCTGAGACCGATGTCTGTTGTGATCTGACATGTCACTACGATATAGGCAGAAGTGATTCCTATGGGCAATGACAGCTGAGTAAATAGCAGCGAACTCAGGGATTGAGTGTGATTTAACCATAAAAGCCTTGATTCCAGCCTTTACCCAGGAGGAGACCTCGGAAACGCATTCTTGAATAGAGAGCTTAAAGACCACATCCCAGGGGACATCTCAAAGGAAATAGGACAGGTCCCAGTCTGCTCGTTGATAACAAAAATATTCTGTTGGTAGGAGCTTCTTTGCTGGGGGTGGAGTAGAAGGAAATGTTGACAGAAACTACAGCATGATCAGAGTTGCCAAGAGGGCAGAGCTACAAGGCGCGACGAGATCTCTGGAATGGAGGTGAAACAGATCGAGAAGGGAAGCCTTACAGCCCAGGTTATTGAGGAAATGTGAGGAAGTCAACTATTTGCGCGAGGGATTGAGAAATAGAAAAATTAAGAGTTTGTATGCCAGCAAAGTCAGTTATAGAGTTTTTAAGCAACTTGGTATGGTGGGTGTTAAAGTCTCCGAAGCACGAATATATGAGCAAACGGATGGAGAGAGTTAGCCTTGTCTATATTGTCGGAAATGCTTTCGAGTACACCACAGTCTTGGGAGGATGGAGAGTGATATAGAAGGAGAGGTATCTTACAGCATTGAGGAGAGATAGGTGGAGATACAAGTATGAGTGGCCTGGAGATTCGAAAGAGAGCTCCCTAGCTAGTGGGAGATGGTGAAGTAATTTTGTTAAGTCAATCAAACTTTAAAATCTTAGAAAAATTAAAACAAAGAACGAACTGGATATTTTAAAATTATTCAACTGGATTAAGTTTTAAAATTATTGCTTTAAAATTAAAACTAAGGACCTCCACTTTGGTCACGTAAAAAACACCATAACATGATGAAAAAGGCCCCTAACTTTTTTAAAAACAAAGTTTTGTCATTAAAATGTTTATTAAGAGGAAAGACCAAAAAAATTTTTTTTTTTTTTTTTAAACACTGTATGTTTGAAATTTTTTTTTTTTTTTTTTTTTTTTTTTTTTTTCTTATGTCAGCAGCAGAGAAAAACCCATTGATTTGGAAATTCTTTCAAAAATCAAAAAATTGAGAGATACACAATTATGATACTTTCAGGACTGACGTATTCAGAAATGAATGAATATTTTTATTTTTTTTCATGTTACCGTTCACTTACTTTCATAAAATTTTGAGAAATTAAATATTTCAAGAATACTTGGAGAAGTAAATCATTAACCCATTTACCAAAAATCTGCTCTGAATTGTAAAATAAAAAATGCAATAAAATTATCTAATTATTTAATCAGAAAAGCTTTTAATTGCTTTGATAAAAATAAGATTTATTAAGGACACTATATTGTCATAAAACTTTTTTCAATGAATAATTAATTTTTCCAAGAATTGTTTTCATTTTTTTAAAAATTTTCATTAAACAATTTATAATACTAAAAAATTGTTTAAAATTCTGCATTGCTTGAAGCCGATGGTTTGTTGATATTAAATGAAAAGTACATTTATGAATCAAAACTTGAAAAGCTCATAACAGTTGTTTGTAACCCAATATTTTTAAAATAATTAAAAAAAAAAAAGTTTTTAAGCA